GTGATGAGGGGTGGTCGTTTGACCGCGGACCCGTTACGGACGCAGGCAATAAGGCAGTGATCGCTGAGATCCTGGTTGAAGACAGCGGAGGTGTATTTAGAGGGTAAGTTAGTCAGGATGATATCTATGAGGGTACCCATGTTTACGGATTTAGGGTTGTACCTGGTAGGTTCGTTGATAATTTGTGTGAGATTGAGGGCATCTAGTTTAGATTGTAGGATGGCCGGGGTGTTAAGCATTTCCCAATTTAGGTCACCAAGCAGTACGAACTCTGAGGATAGATGGGGGGCAATCAATTCACATATGGTGTCCAGGGCACAGCTGGGGGCTGAGGGGGGTCTGTAGCAAGCGGCAACAGTGAGAGATTTATTTCTGGAAAGGTGGATTTTTAGAAGTAGAAGCTCAAACTGTTTGGGCACAGACCTGGATAGTATGATAGAGCTCTGCAGGCTATCTCTACAGTAGATTGCAACTCCACCCCCTTTGGCAGTTCTATCTAGACGGAAAATGTTATAGTTGGGGATGGAAATTTCAGAATTTTTGGTGGCCTTCCTAAGCCAGGATTTAGACACTGCTAGAACATCAGGGTTGGCGGAGTGTGCTAACGCAGTGAATAACTCAAACTTAGGAAGGAGGCTTCTGATATTTACGTCCTTCAAGACTGTTGGAAAAGCATTCCAGGTGAAGCTGGTTGAGAGAATGCCAAGAGTGTGCAAAGCTGTCATCAAGGCAAAGGGTGGCTATTTGAAGAATCTCAAATATAAAATATATTTTTTGGTTACTACATGATTCCATATGTGTTATTTCGTAGTTGTGATGTCTTCACTATTATTCTACAATGTACATAATAGTACAAATAAAGAAAAACCCTTGAATGTGTCCAAACTTTTGACTGGTACTGTATATATGGAGACTGTTTAGCGCCAACAATAAGGGGTTAAATACAAAACAATTTTTTTTCTTTTATAACAAATGTTTCCTGATCTTTCTTATAGCTCTCAGATCCCAATACATCAAATCAAAAATCAAATCATGGTAGTGGGGTATACAAAATAGGTCAACTTTGAGCACCTTTATCTCATGAAAGTCACTTTCTGAGCACTACTACGATGGGCAAATATGTATGGAAGGTTTCGTTCAAATCAAAAGGGGTGCAGTCAAATAGTGATTGAATTCAAATGGATTTACCCATATGCTACACTGTAATGACAATAAAACACCATTCTCCCTTAAAGGGATAGTTCACCCAAATTACAAAATTAAACATTGGTTTCCTTACCCTGTTTTAAGTCTATGGACAAGGTATGACAGCAATCCATGCTTTGGTTTTATTTCCCTGACACTGTTTCCAAAAGCTAACATTTAAGCATTTGTGGCACAAATCCCATGCAAGTCATGATCCCAATATTAGCATTTTTCGCGCATCATGTCCACATCATCCGAAAGTATCTCAAATTGATTGTGAAGCTCAACAATGCCACTTATAGATGATTTGAACATGATGCACGAAAAAATGCTAATATCGGTACCATGACTTGAATGGGGATTTGTGCCACAAATGCTTACAGGGAAAGAAACCCAATATGTCATTTTGTAATTTCGTTGAACTATCCCTTTAAGAATAATAAACTCCATTATGCTGAAAAGATGTTCTCCAGGTGCAATAGTGAGAGGAGCAGTGAGCAGGGGGTAGACGTTGTGCCCATTGGAGGGCTGCAGACCTATCTATATTTAGATCAGCACTGTCGCAGCTACAACAGCGAGCACAATTCATCCTGCCCATAGACACAGACAAAAAAAGGCATGCACCAAAGTAAGCTCACTCACAAACAATGAAAACATCATAGGATCTGGTCACAACTTCTCTTCACTTCTGCATTTTAGTCATTTAGCAGACGCTCTTATCCAGAGTGACTTACAGGACCAATCAGGATTAAGTGCCTTACTCAAGGGCATATCGACAGATTTTTCAACTAGTCGGCTCAGGGATTCAAACCAGCGACCTTTCGGTTACTGGCCCAACGCTCTTAACCACTAGGCTACCTGCCGCCCTGCCACCCAGGTTGTTGTCTAATTATTGTCTGATCAAAAACACTTGTGCTCTTGCTTAAACACTATGCTTCCTGCTGTAGTTTACTGTGTCTGTGCATGTGTGTCTGTGCATGTGTGTGTATGTGTGTGTGTATGTGTGTGTGTGTGTGTATGTGTGTGTGTGTGTGTGTGCGTGCGTTAGTATGTGAGGGCCAGGTGCTAATCTATACACCCAGCTGCAAGGTTCTAGATTACATGGCTATTAGCTACCACAATCCCTACTCCCTCTGGAATGACAGTGATTAAGGCACCATGAGCCCATGGTCAACAGTCTCCAAACAGAGCGCCAGCATCTGGCCCCTGGCAACCAGGAACATCAACCCTCCTCCTCTGACAGCATTGGTCAACATGACCACCTCCCGCATCTCTACTGCCATCCTTCACATGGTCATCAGACCACGTTACCTTCACATGGTCATCAAACCATGCTACCTTCAGTGGTTCATCAGACCACGCTACCTTCACATGGTCATCAGACCACGCTACTTTCACATGGTCATCAAACCACGCTATCTTCAGTGGTCATCAAACCACGCTAACTTCACATGGTCATCAAACCACGCTACCGTCATCAGACCATGCTACCTTTAGTGGTCATCAGACCACACTACCTTCACGTGGTCATCAGACCACGCTACCTTCAGTGGTCATCAGACCACGCTACCTTCACATGGTCATCAGACCACGCTATCTTCAGTGGTCATCAGACCACTTTACCTTCACATGGTCATCAGCCCACGCTACCTTCACCTGGTCATCAGACCACGTTACCTTCACATGGTCATCAGACCACGTTACCTTCACATGGTCATCAGACCACGCTACCTTCACATGGCCATAAGACCACGCTATCTTCACATGGTCATCAGACCACGCTACCTTCACATGGTCATCAGACCACACTAACTTAGGTGGTCATCAGACCACGCTAACTTCACATGGTCATCAGACCATGCTACCTTCAGTGGTCATCAAACCACGCTACCTTCACATGGTCATCAGACCACGCTACCTTCAGTGGTAATCAAACCACGCTACCTTCACATGGTCATCAGACCACGCTACCTTCAGTGGTCATCAAACCACGCTACCTTCACATGGTCATCAGACCACGCTACCTTCAGTGGTAATCAAACCACACTACCTTCACATGGTCATCAGACCACGCTACCTTCAGTGGTCATCAGACCATGCTACCTTCACATGGTCCTCAGACCATGTTATCTTCACATGGTCATCAGACCACGCTACTTTCACATGGTCATCAGACCACGCTACCTTTACATGGCTATCAGACCATGTTACCTTCACATGGTCATCAGACCACGCTACTTTCACATGGTCATCAGACCACGCTACCTTCAGTGGTTATTAGACCACGCTACCTTCAGTGGTCATCAGACCACGCTAACTTCACATGGTCATCAGACCACGCTACCTTCACATGGTCATCAGACCATGTTACTTTCACATGGTCATCAGACCACGCTATCTTCACATGGTCATCAGACCACGCTACTTTCACATGGTCATCAGACCACGCTACCTTCACATGGTCATCAGACCACGCTACTTTCACATGGTCATCAGACCATGTTACCTTCACATGGTCATCAGACCACGCTACTTTCACATGGTCATCAGACCATGCTACTTTCACATGGTCATCAGACCATGCTACCTTCACATGGTTATCAGACCATGCTATCTTCACATGGTCATCAGACCATGCTACCTTCACATGGTCATCAGACCACACTACCTTCACATGGTCATCAGACCATGCTACCATCACATGGTCATCAGACCACGCTACCTTCACGTGGTTATCAGACCATGCTACCTTCACATGGTCATCAGACCACACTACCTTCACATGGTCATCAGACCACGCTACCTTCACATGGTCATCAGACCACGCTACCTTCACATGGTCATCAGACCACACTACCTTCACATGGTCATCAGACCACGCTACTTTCACATTGTCATCAGACCACGCTACCTTTACATGGTTATCAGACCACGCCACCTTCAGTGGTCATCAGACCACGCTACCTTCAGTGGTCGATGACTGCCATGAGACTCCAAGCTTCCCCATTCCTCTATTCCTCTATTCACTTGAAAAGACAATGCATTTGTCATGCTCATTCTATAGGTGTTCATTTGGCTTGTTATAGTCATCTCACACCATAATGTATGTTCACGGTCATAGGAGGTAATGTTCTTCATGTGACAGCGCTGAGAAGACTGATAGTGGACACAATATGAAGTCTACCAGTGATGAAGGCAAACAGGCAGTCTCTCTCTCTCAAGATTACCTGTTCAATCGCCATAGCACAGACTATATTATCTATGTGGGGTCCTGCATGAATCATTCACCTGACATATAATACACCTCATTACTAGTGAACAAAGTCACATACACAAACTCCCGGGAATCATGGGGCCTGTCACTTTTGATTTAAAGATGTCCCACCCGGCCCAACATGGTGCTCTCCGTATCAATGAGTCTAGCCCGGCGGCCATACAACGTGTCTACTGTTGTAAGCATGACCTTGACGACAGAAACTGTAGTTGGATGTGTTCCACAAACTGGATCTGGTTCAAAATGGAAGACTGTTCAGAAAATTACTCCTTACGTTCATATAAAAAGACGTCTCTGCTGAAAAACGTCAAAAACCAAGAGCAGGGCAACACCTAAATTCCCATATTCATCACCGTTAGATTTACATTTACAGGAGCAATTAGGGTTAAGTGCCTTGCTCAAGGGCACATCGACAGATGGATTAGAACCAGCGACCGTTAGCAAATACCCATGCCTATCTCATAAGCTAAAATATCAGCCCGCTAACCAAACTGTATTGAGTAAGAACAGTGAGGTTTAAGGTATATAAAAGCACTTACTTGTTTAACGTTAGGTCCAGTATAAATCTGGAGCCAAAGGCCTCTAACTGGAAACTGGCTTGGGCAAGGTGGACTGCCTGTGGGACAGACAGAATGTTAAACACGTCACTGTGAAAACACAGGTCACTGTTTTCACTTCTTATCAGGCTGTTTTCCTTTCTAATTGTAGGTGTATTGGGAGAATGGTCACCCTTGGTAATGGTAAGAGTAGTTATAGCGCTATATAAATTAAATGTATTATTATTATTATTATTATTAGTTAATTGCCATATAAATAGAATATTATAGCCATGGGTATTACATTGAGCAATTGCAACTTTAATGACTGTAAGGAATGGCATGCCAACTTCACTGCCAAGCCAAGTTAAGAAAGAATCCCTTGCATATCAAGTAAAATAGGGCGTCGCCCTCATCACGTAGGAGCAGAGGGAGGAAAGAGCGAGACAACGCTCTCATTGATGACTCCATCTAGCCTATCATTTCAATCAAAGTATACCCATTCATCAGTTTACTTCATCCAGTGTGCCAACATGGACAAGTGTACTTCCACCGACAAGTATAACCCCCCCACCGCACTCTGGGGCTCTAATAGGATGCCCATCCCATATGCATATCAGTCTGGTATGTTGTCACACCTGGTCATGGCCCTCTGTGGCCTGGTTCCTAGCCCGGGTGTCCAAGTCATGGTAGGTGCTCTCCGAGTCCTCCTTCAGGTAGTAGATGAGCCGAGAGGGGTAGATGATCTCATGCTCAGCCGCATGGTGACTTGTGTTGTCTGTGGCCGCTGCTGCAGTTGCCTCTCGCTCCAACAATAATGGCGCTGCGTCCCTCTCCACCACCTCATTCTCTCCTCCTTGGGAAAGTGCAGAAGAGGAGATATCCCACCACCACCCGAGCATGTCAGTCTGCACTCTGCATAGCCCCCCCACATAAGGAAGCCTGTCAATCATAATCTAATCACGTAAACAATTGCTGCTACTGCAGGAAGTGTTCATGACTTCACCATTCCTCCAGGACACAGAGGGGAGAGAGCGAAGTGCATCTTGCTGTATAATGTTGTGTATTCGGTCCATTTGAGTATGACAGAGTATGGCAGTAAGCTATGACATAAAATGTTCAAAGTCTACCTAAAAAATTTACCTGGGGGATCCCATAAAAATGCTATGCTTACAATGAAATACACAATTATAAAAACTCAAAATAATGTGAAATTCCATTACATAAATCTCTACTTGTCTTCAACAAAATGAAAAATATGAATTGAATATGACAGACTGGGTAGACTACTTTATGTTTTGTTGAATATTATTCTACTATTGGAAATAGCACAGTTCAATTCATAACATAATAAATGAGTGCCTTGATAAGGTCAATGCTGGTAAATCATGTCTCAAGTATCAGCAGTTTATAAAGGTGTTTTGATCTTCGTTGAGGTACTTAATAACTGGACAAAATGGTAGACCTAGAGTTAAAAGGAGTTAATGTCAAACATTCGTCACAGGTTCATTTAGATATATTTCATGTTCATAACCTGAACAAAAGATACTGAGCCCCCTCTCTCACCGTCACTTAAAAAGACTTGTCCTACGGACCGGAGAGTTCCGTCTCAAAATAGAAACAGCACAGCGAGAAAAAACAACATATCTATCATATCTATCAGATAATGACACAAAGAAGCATGCAAGTTATTAGATGTAACTGATACCGTTCTGATTGGGCTAAGAACATGCAGTAGGGTACATACCAACTGATGCTATGGATGAATGGAGCCCGGATGCAAGGATGCTCACGAGCAAATTTGCCAGAAATATCAAATGCATGATTCATATTTGATATTTTAAATATCTGTATATCAACACGTCAACGCAGTAATTAGCTTCCGGTCCATTACAGCCGGGGAGATGTCGTTTACGGGAAATTCTTCATATATCCAGTCAGTGGTGGAGAGGACTCCTGCAGCAACCGGAGCGGGGCGAATGGAAGGCGGTGGCCAGCCACTCGAACTCAACGAGCAGACTCCTACTTATGCTGCATCCGCGCAAGTACTGTGTCTTACAATTCAATATAAATCCCCCCGTTGCCCGCGCGCACATAGCACAGGCTCCTGCACGAGCTTTAAAGTACATGCAGATGCTTTTCACAGGGAAGATAGCCCGGCATCCCACATCCCAGATCATCTGCTTGAACTGCTTCCCATTACCTACTGCATTAATGTACTATAGCGGATAAGGTCATGTAATGTATATCCTGATTCTCACTATATTTTACATGGTCAAAATAAATAGTGAGCAGTTTTGTGATATGGTGGGTAAGATAATGTGTATGGCCTATGTATTTTGAAGGCTGATTATTAGTATTTTACTGTGTTCTGCACCACAGTGCCTATCTCTGTCTAAACTCACATTGATAAGCATCATAACAGCTGAAGAGCTATTTTGATGGGAATGGTTTTATTGTTTTGTCAATCATCTTGGCCTTCTTTGGTAATTGTGTGCAATACAGGTTCCCACCCACCCACAGATCCTATACGATCGGAGCTAGTGGGAGAGTATGTCTGCTTCGCTAAGGCTGTAGTTCAAAGGACACAATCAATGTCAATGATTGCCTGCGTTTCTGTGTTTTAAATATTTGATAAAGCTTTGCATAAAACACGTGGCACCTTCAGATTTCATGTCCACGGCACTCTTTTGAGCAGTCAAGGAAATCCTCACAGAAGGCTGTATTTCAATCATGTTTTTAAGACAGCGCCCAGCAAGTCCAGTTCAGAGAATGTATGGGTCCAACGGTGTGAAATTATTCCTGATGACCAGGGTTACTTATTTTTATGTGTTTTTGATTTAGACTGATTTAGACTCGGTATATTGAGCTTCTCCTATATAATGTGCTATACTGCAGTAAATCATGTTGGTTGTTTAGGTTGTATAAATGTTCCTTTATAGGCTGGTGCTAGGAACCTCTGAGATTTGATTACCAGTGGTCAACCAGTCGGAAATCCGTCCTGACCTGTTATATAAATCATGCGATCTTTTTTGACAGACTACAAGTATAGCGATTGTATAATCTTACACAAGGCATTCCTTTACCACAGTATTCGAAATGTTCCTCATTCTCATACAGCGCAAGTGACGCGTCAGTGGACGCGCCCACTGGACACCAACACAACTCCTCCAATATGTATTACGGTGTAACGGGTTTTATGCACAGCACAGACTAACGAATATACCCGAACAGGAACTATACGCCAACCGCAGTAATAAAATAGGGATGGAGTTTGGAATTTCCATGAAACATATCATTGAGTGAGACAAATGGTAAAGTATTGGCAGTTGCCGTAGTGGGTAGCTTAACTACTTTTACGCTGCTTAACTTCTGAAAGTTTTTCTTTTGGGTGATTCCGACTCGGAGAGGATTGGCAGGACATAGTAACATTCAGCGACTGGAAGGTATGTATATAGGCTACTGTGTAAGTAGACTAAGCTTTCGTGGCTTTTGGATAACGCATAGGAAAATGGACAGCATCCGCAAAATATCAGATGCTGTTTTTTTTCTGATCAATCAGAGTTATCTGTATTTTTATAGAATACGCCCAGTCCACGCATTTCTATGTTAGTAGTAGTTTCATAGCTCACATACTGTATCGTGTGGCAAATTATTTTAATACAAAATACATTTTTATTAGGCCAACATTTACATGGAAGATTGTGTATGTTGCCGTCAGTTTATCTGACCATAGACCTTCAAGGCAAAGTTAGAGGAACTGAGACTGAGGAGACCCTGTTGTACACATTTGTGTAGGTTGGAGGTTTCCTGTCACAAGTTTGAATGACCATAAGAAACAGACAAGCAGGATGATGTCATGATTTAGCATGTTAACTATACTTGTGGGGACCAGAAGTCCCCACAAGAATAGTAAACAATAAAAATTTGACCAACTGGGGACATTTTGTTGGTCCCCGCAAGGTCAAATTCTATTTCTAGGGGGTTTAGGGTTAAGGTTAGAATTAGTGTTAGGGTTAGAATTAGAGTTAGGGGCTAGGTTTAGGTTTAGGGTTAGGGTTAAGGTTAGGTTTTTGGATTAGGGTTAGGGTTAGGGTTAGGGTTAGGGTTAGGGTAAGGGTAAGGGTTAGGGTTAGGGTTAGGTTTGGGGTTAGGGGTTAGGGAAAATAGGATTTTGAATGGGACTGAATTGTATGTCCCCACAAGGTTAGCTGCGCAAGACTGTGTGTGTGTGTGTGTGTGTGTGTGTGTGTGTGTGTGTACGTGTACTCCACGTCCCCTCTGTTTGTAGTTGGCTTACTAATGATGACACTCTCTTCCAGGATAAGGACCAACCCAGCTGTAATTTACAATCTCACTTTTAAAACAACTGAAGGAACTGTGACCGGGATACTTACAAGGACATTTGTGTCAAATAAGTGCAGGGGCATTTGGGTGAGAATCTATTATATAAAAACATTATGGGCTATTATGACAAAACAGTAGGCTATCTGTTTGACAGAAAATCTGGTAACATGTATTAAGTTTTTATATATATATGCCATTTAGCAGACGCTTTTATCCAAAGCGACTTACAGTCGTGCGTGCATACATTTTTGTGTATGGGTGGTCCCGGGGATCGAACCCACTACCTTGGCGTTACAAGCGCTGTGCTCTACCAGCTGAGCTACAGAGGACCACTTATACTTGTGCAGTTACACAGTAATTAACAACATAGTGTTAACATAAGTAATTAGTGTTTCTAACCTACACTAGTACAGGAACAACTTATAAAGTTTTACTGAAAATCCACATATTGAAAGGGTGTATCTTAACGCTTTCTCATTCTTGCAGGACCCCTGCTTACAAAGGTGGTAGTGTTGCAGCAACGGAAGAATCCATGGAGGACTATGGCAATTACACCTACGATTATCTGGAGTATGGAGACTTCGAAGAAGAAGAAGAAGTCAGAGATGGATACTCCCAGAAGGAGGCTATGCACATCATATCCATAGTCATGTATAGTATTTCATTTGTGCTCGGTGTCACTGGAAATGGAATAGTCATATGGGTGACGGCATTTAAAAGCAAACGGACAGTGAACAGTATATGGTTGCTGAACATGGCTATAGCAGATTTTGTGTTTGTGCTCTTTTTACCCTTCTCCATCGACTACGTGCTTCGAGACTTCCACTGGTCCTTTGGGCTGGTCATGTGTAAGCTAAACTCGTTTGTGTCTGTGATGAACATGTACGCCAGTGTGCTCTTCCTCATGATGCTCAGTCTAGACAGGTATGTCTCATTGGTCCACCTTAGCTGGTCTCAGCGGTGTCGCAGTGTGTGGCGAGCCTGGGTCGTATGTGGCTGTGTGTGGGGGGTATCTGCTCTACTGAGCCTCCCCACCTTGATATTCCGTGACACTATGAGTTTACGTGACCGGGTGGTGTGCTTCAACAACTTCAATGTCCAGGATGGACATACAGCTGCTGTGAGACACATTACGTTGGTGGTCGTCCGTACCGCAGTGGGATTCCTACTGCCCTTCAGTGCCATCTGTGTGACTGGAATTCTCCTGGTAATCAAAGTCCACCAGTCTGACGATTCTGTGTACCTGTCTAGCTTTTCTAAGACAGTTTCCGCTGTCATTCTGGCCTTCTTTTTGTGCTGGGCACCGTTCCATACCTTTAGTTTAATGGAGCTTTCCATGCACTCCTCACTGTACCTACATGACGTTCTGAAGACCGGCTTTCCTCTTGCCACTAGCTTAGCCTTTTTCAACAGCTGCGTCAACCCCCTCCTCTACATGCTGGTGGGCAAAAAGGTTCGCCGGCTCCTGAAGCGCTCGTGTCTGGACATCACAAAGAGTTCTCTGCGGGAGCTCAGCCAGTCCATCTCTGCAACTGAATCATTGTCTGCAGCAGACATCAGTCCTCCAGAGGAGCCCACAGAATCATCGACTAATCCCACAGTTACCTATAGCAGAAACCAAAATAAACTGCTATTTGACCTTTAAAGAGCCAGCCTGAACATTATTTTAGTCCAGATGTGACTTATTTTATATTCTACTTCAGTGTAACATTTATGCTAGTTGTTTGAGTTGGATACTTCCAAGCTGTAATTACTTCCAGTGCCAACTTCTGTTGACTATAAATTGCCCTCAGAGGAAAACCTGAGTAAAGACTTGCGCTAAAAGTATAACTTGCACATGGGAAAACAGGCAACTTTAATGATTTGAAAAAATTATCTGATCCTAATTACCCCAAAGACAAACAGGAAAGGAGGCAGCCTCAGGAACAAGAGTTATTAGAAGCAGATCTACCATTTTCATAAACACTTTTGTATTTAGATTTCGGTCTTCAAACAAATCCAAGTTTAACCCTGATGGGAATTTAGGGCTTCTCTTTCATATTATGTTGAAAAGTTTTCCATTACAAGTTGATTTTCTGTTGTAGTGTTTTCTGTTATACACAAGAGACAAATTCTATTAGGCCGTTTTTTCTTCTTCTAATTATATTAGGTGTATAAATGAATCTCTATGTTTACATGACATTTTCTAATAGTGTTCACATTGTCTTTCACTGTGTGGGATTTTTGTGGGAATTTGTAATCTATGAGGGAAATTTGCAATGCAATTGATTTGTTAATTCTAATATACTTCAGTCAAAGGAATAAACAATGAATCCAGTCCCTTCTCTTTATTGTAAGTGCGTTTTAATATGTATTGCTTCTGTGTTATACAGTGCCACTATAGTGGCTTGCGAAAGTATTCGCCGCCCCTTGGCATTTTTCCTATTTTGTTGCCTTACAACCTGAAATTAAAATGGATTTTTGGGCGGTTTGTATCATTTGATTTACCCAACATGCCTACCACTTTGAAGATGCAAAATAATTTTAAAGGGGAAACAAACAAGAAATAAGACAAAAAAACTGAAAACTTGAGCGTGCATAACTATTCACCCCCCCAGAGTCAATACTTTGTACAGCCAACTTTTGCAACAATTACAGCTGCAAGTCTCTTCGGGTATGTCTCTATAAGCTTGGCACATCTAGCCACTGGGATTTTTGCCCATTCTTCAAGGCAAAACTGCTCCAGCTCCTTCAAGTTGGATGGGTTCTGCTGGTCTACAGCAATATTTAAGTCATACCACAGATTCTCAATTGGATTGAGGTCTGGGCTTTGACTAGGCCATTTCAAGACATTTAAATGTTTCCCCTTAAACCACTCAAGTGTTGCTTTAGCAGTATGCTTAGGGTCATTGTCCTGCTGGAAGGTGAACCCAGTCTCAAATCTCTGGAAGACTGAAACAGGTTTGCCTCAAGAATTTCCCTGTATTTAGCGCCATCCATCATTCCTTCAATTCTGACCAGTTTCCCAGTCCCTGCCAATGAAAAACCTCCCCACAGCATGATGCTGCCACCACCATGCTTCACTGTGGGGATGGTGTTCTCAGGGTGATGAGAGGTGTTGGGTTTGCGCCAGACATAGCATTTTCCTTGATGGCCAAAAAGCTCAATTTTAGTCTCATCTGACCAGAGTACCTTCTTCCATATGTTTGGGGAGTCTCCCACATGCTTTTTGGCGAACACCAAACGTGTTTGCTTATTTTTTTCTTGAAGCAATGGCTTTTTTCTGGCCACTCTTCCGTAAAGCCCAGCTCTGTGGAGTGTACGGCTTAAAGTGGTCCTATGGACAGATACTCCAATCTCCGCTGTGGAGCTTTGCAGCTCCTTCAGGGTTATCTTTGGTCTCTTTGTTGCCTCTCTGATTAATGCCCTCATTGCCTGGTCTGTGAGTTTTGGTGGGCGGCCCTCTCTTGGCAGGTTTGTTGTGGTGCCATATTCTTTCCATTGGTGCTCCGTGGGATGTTCAAAGTTCCGGATATTTTTTTATAACCCAACCCTGATCTGTGCTTCTCCACAACTTTGTCCCTGACCTGTTTGGAGAGCTCCTTGGTCTTCATGGTGCCGCTTGCTTGGTGGTTGCAGACTCTGGGGCCTTTCAGAACATGTGTATATATACTGAGATCATGTGACAGATCATGTGACACTTAGATTGCACACAGGTGGACTTTATTTAACTAATTATGTGACTTCTGAAGGTAATTGGTTGCACCAGATCTTATTTAGGGGCTTCATAGCAAAGGGGGTGAATACATATGCACACACCACTTTTCAGTTGTTTATTTTTTTGAATTTTTTAAAACAAGTTATTTTTTCATTTCGCTTCACCAATTTGGACTATTTTGTGTATGTCCATTACATGAAATCCAAATAAAAATCAATTTAAATTACAGGTTGTAATGGAACAAAATAGGAAAAACGCCAAGGGGGATGAATACTTTTGCAAGGCACTGTGTATAGAGTGGTGCTCAATCTAACAGGACCAACAGGATATTGTCTGTAACCTCAATTAAGGTTATAATACACTGAGGATGGCATAAAAATACTACACGCATAGTTGATCAAAGCAGAACACACAAGACATGAATACCTTACACCGATTCATGTATAGCTAGCGAGAGATGTGCATTTCCAATAAAGGCTTTTCGCTGTACTTGTGCACGTGACAATAAAACTTAAACAATATATAAATTAGTCCTAACTGCTGGTTTCCTGAAGTTCAGCCCAGTTGTTGTCAATGTAAATGCAGCTATTTCCTGTTATTGCCAAAACCCCCACAGCAAACAAACCCAGATGAGTTGAGTTTGGTTGAGTAAAGTCCACATCTGGGACCATGGCCTCAGAGAACATCAACTGTGTCATTCTTGTATTAATCACCCCCATTTCTTCAGTCAACATTTTGACACAATGCTTGGAAAAGTGGGCTATTGACATTTGATTCAGATTAATTTAACTGCCAAATGGATGGTGTTGTTGAACATTTATTTGGAATGAATGAAACCAGGTTAAGGTTTTTGGACATTTAATCTGAGATTTTGGCACAATTTGAATTGAATAGAGATAGGAATGAAAAGACGTTTTATAATCAATTGCATCTCAGTGAATGGAAATTGTCATTGTCATTGATGGAAATTAATTGCTCAGCCAGTGAGGATGTCTGAAATTCTCTCACATGATATGCAAAGAAATTACCAGTAGACTAATTTACAGATTAAAAAACGACTAAAATATTTATTGTCGAGTAGCTGTGTTTACTTAAAAATACTAAAATGTTTATTGTTGAGTAGCTGTGTTCACTTTATTGGTAGATAATGCATTCATAGAGATATGGCAATTTATTGATTAGATAGCAGTGTTGGGGAGGAGTAAACTACATGTAGTTCAACTAGTAATTGAATTACATTTTCCAGTAGCTTGCTTGGTGGAAGTTGAACTAAATACAAATCTAGGTAATGTTTTCAGTTGTTAATTCCTTTTTTGCCATGTAGTGGTGTAGATAACTACTGGAACTACACAATATTATTTTTTGCAAAAATAAACTATGGGGGAAGTAGGTCAATCATTTCCTTTCTTTTTCGGGATCAGAACTGCTTAATTCTCACTTGAAACATCGTTTTTTGTTTGTTTGTTTAATAGGCTACATTCCAGATATTCTTGCGATTTGTAGTCTGACATTTTAGATTTACATATGACATTTTTTTTTTCAGGAAGTAGTTTGGATGTAGTGAACTACTTTTTCAAATTAACTTTAGTAACTTCTTCCAGTGTGAAGTCATTGGTATCTTGGTAAACGATATTTTTCAGAGTAGTTTCCCTAACACTGTTAGACAGCAACATTATGCGCTACGTTAAAGGGTACATGAAATGGGGACGGTCAAATAGTGACGCAGCGGAATAGAGAAAGTGCGCAGTCAGCGGTGATCGTTGAGGCGCCACTACTACGGAGGCTGGAGTGACAGTGACAGTGACAGTGGCATGGTAAGGACTCGCAATGACAGCTCTCGTGTGTACGTAGAATCTCTAAAGTATAAGGGCAATGTGATATTTGAAGATGTTTTGAAAACCATCAGAACTAACGTATTATGTAGTACCGGCGGCGCCGTGAAGTTTGATGGTTGTAAAAATATGTATTGGCTAGCTACGTTAGCGTAGCCTAGCCAAGATGGTCATGGGATGGTCAGAGTGGTCGTGGCGAAAAAATTATGCATTGCAAGCGTTTTGTATCGTGTATACCCAACTGTTAGCTACGTGGCTTCCGTATGCAAGTGATTCACGTGTTTTAGCTACTTATAGCTAACTATTTACATAATCTTCTTATTCCTGCCTAAACTAGGGAGAGACAGCTAGATGCCAAAGACAGATGCTAGCTAGTTGTAACACGTTATCCTATAAAGGGAACTATAGCTAGCTATCTTTATACAGAAATGTCAGGTGATGCTGCTTGCCAACATGGGAGTGATTGTATTTTCTAAATGACAACTTTGTTGATGAAACCAGCTTTTTACTTATTCGCTTAGCTAGCTAGCTGTGCATTTATTATATTGTTCAGCATCATGTTGCGTCTCTCAGGAGTGGCTCACTCTACAGTCTCCAACAATGTCAGTGCATTTACCAATTTACCAATCCATGCAGGATTTACCCCAGTGTTTACCCACAACCCGCACCCGGTTTTACTGGGCCATGGAGCCGGGGGACCTGCTCTCACTTGGGGCCAAAGACAGACCACTGGTACTTTTCAGCTGTCATTTACAGTACCAGTCACAAGTTTGGACACACCTACTCATTCCAGGGTTTTTCTTAATTTTTTACTATTTTCTACATTGTAGAATAATAGTGAAGACATCGAAACTATGAAATAACACATATGGAATCATGTAGTAACCAAAAAAGTGTTAAACAAATCATACATTTGTTTTATATTTGAGATTCTTCAGAGTAGCCACCCTTTGCCTTGATTACAGTTTTGCACACTCTTGGCATTCTCTCAACCAGCTTCATGAGTTAGTCACCTGGAATGAATTTCAATTATCAGGTGTGCCTTGTTAAAAGTTAATTTGTGGAATTTCTTTCCTTAATGCGTTTGAGCCAATCAGTTGTGTTGTGACAAGGTACGGTGGTATACAGAAGATAGCCCTATTTGGTAAAAGACCAAGTCCATATTATGGCAAGAACAGCTCATGAAGGTCAGTCAATCCGGAAATTTTCAAGAAGTGCAGTCGCAAAAACCATCAAGCGCTATGATGAAACTGGCTCTCATGAGGACTGCCACAGGAAAGGAAGACCCAGAGTTACCTCTGCTGCAGAGGATAAGTTTATTAGAGTTAACTGCACCTCAGATTGCAGCCCAAATAAATGCTTCACAGAGTTCAAGTAACAGACACATCTCAACATCAGAGGAGACTGCGTGAATCAGGCCTTCATAGTCGAATTGCTGCAAAGAAACCACAACTAAAGGACACCAATAAGAAGAAGAGACTTGCTTGGGCCAAGAAACACGAGCAATGGACATTAGACCGATGGAAATCTGTCCTTTGGTCTGATGAGTCCAAATTTGAGATTTTTGGTTCCAACCGCCGTGTCTTTGTGAGACTCAGATTAGGTGAACGGATGCTCTCCGCATGTGTGGTTCCCACCGTGAAGCATGGAGGAGGAGGTGTGATGGTGTGGGGGTGCTTTCCTGGTGACACTGTCAGTGATTAATTTAGAATTCAAGGCACAGTTAACCAGCATGGCTACCACAGCATTCTGCAGTGATACGCCATCCCAGCTGCTTTTTGCGCTTAGTGGGACTATCATTTGTTTTTCAGCAGGACATTGACCCAAAACACACCTCCAGGCTGTGTAAGGGCTATTTGACCAAGGAGAGTGATGGAGTGCTGCATCAGATGACCTGGCCTCCACAATCACCCAACATCAACCCAATTGAGATGGTTTGGGATGAGTTGGAAAGCAGAGTGAAGGAAAAGCAGCCAACAAGTGCTCAGCATATGTGGGAACTCCTTCAAGACTGTTGGAAAAGCATTCCTCATGAAGCTGTTGAGAGAATGCCAAGTGTGCAAAGCTGTCATCAAGGCAAAGGGTGGCTATTTGAAAAATCTCAAATATATAAAATATATTTTGATTAGTTTAACACTTTTTTTGGTTACTACATGATTCCATATGTGTTATTTCATAGTTTTGATGTCTTCACTATTATTCTACAATGTAGAAAATAGTACAAATAAAGAAAAACCCTTGAATGTGTCCAAACTTTTGACTGGTACTGTATATATGGAGATTGTTTAGTGCCAACATTAAGGGGTTAAATACATGTTTAAAAAATATGTTTTATTGAATTGAAATGGATTTACCCATATGCTACACTGTAATGACAATAAAACACCATTCTCCCTTAAAGAGAGAGTTCACCCAAATTACAAAATTAAACATTGGTTTCCTTACCCTGTTTTAAGTATATGGACAAGGTATGACAGCAATCCATGCTTTGGTTTTTATTGAATTTTATTTTTCAATTTAGTGCAGGTGGTTTGTTAAGACTGCCTTTTATTGTGATGGTGCACTTCACCATTTAACTGATGCATGATGTACTGGGGATACTGATAAAGTAAATGTCATTGTGTGAGATGCAGGGTGATTTTTTTTTGGATACAAGGACGATGTGGGGTTTGTCGTCTGCAGCTACAGCAGCAGCCAGTGACCTGGTGGAGGTGTGTGTGGATGGGAAGCCACTCATGGTGGAATCAGGAACCACAGCGCTTCGGGGTAACAGGGGGGCTCTACTCACTGTATTTGACTATAGAATAGAACATCTTGTCCCAAAATTTTTTTTTAGATAGTAATTGCTTCGGCAATAAAATCAGGCTTCGTAAAAATGAGTTGATATTTTGTTTTAGGCGTGTGAAAAGGTGGGAGTGCAGATTCCTCGCTTCTGTTACCGTGAGCGCCTGTCAGTTACAGGCAAGTGTCGGACGGATGTGTCGCGAGGAGATTGAGAAAGCTCCAAAGGTATGTGCTTACGTGTTATCTTATCTTATTAAAGGTTTCCAAATGTCTGGCATGTTCTGGTACCCTTGTCTATGATGGACACTCTCACGGTCTTACTCTGATATGACCACATCTCTTCTCAGCCAGTGTCAGCATGCGCCACGCCAGTCATGGAGGGTCGGAACATTTTAACTGACTCTGACAAGACAAGGAAAGCTAGGTAGGTATAATCACCTGCAAACACCTCATCCCTTTGATAGCCTGTTTCTCTATAGTGATGTTTGCATTACCTCCTTATTTGGCCATCATCACCAGTATTACAGTGTTTTTCATTACTTTTTCTTCTGATAACCAGGGTGTGATGGAGTTCCTGTTGGCCAAACACCCTTTAGGCTGCCCAACCTGTGACCGGGGGGAAAGAATGTGACCTTCAGGTAAAATCATAACATCATTGTTTTTCTAAAGCTTCTAAGCCTCATTTAGAGGTTAGTCATGATGATGGTTCAGCCTGTGGGAGGGACTTGCAGTGAGGTTTTTGGCATTGGACTTCTAAAAGGAACATGTTTCCATTGCGTGAAGACTGTACAGGACCAGTCCGTGAAGTTTGGCAGTGACCGGAGCCGCTTCTTAGAGAGCGAGAGAGCCGTGGAGGACAGGAACATCGGTCCCCTCATCAAGACCATCATGACCCGGCGTATCCAGTGCACCCACAGTGTTTGGTGAGTCAGGCTAGTAATCATAGTATGGTCCACCATGGAAGCGTTCATTATAGAAGGCAACACCTTATTACCAAGAATTTCAAACGGGAACAGACATCTATGTCCTAAATAATGTTTTCCCCATTTGTAGCTTTGCCAGTGAGCTTGCAGGTGTGGAGGATCTGGGGACCACTGGCAGGGGGGAAAGACCTGCAGATCGGCATTCATGTGGAGAAGATTCATTCATGTCGGCGCTGTCTGGGAATGTGATTGACAAATGCCCTGTGGGAGCATTGACTTCCAAGCCGTATGCCTTCACTTCCTGTCCCTGGGAGACCAGGCATGTGCTTTACACTGTGGTGCATACAGTAGAAGCTGGCTCCAAGTAGTAGTATATAGACCTCGGTGGTTATCAACTAACCTTTCTCTCCTCACAGGAAGACAGAATCTATTGACGTGCTGAATGCTGTGGGCAGCAACATCGTGGTGAGCACCCGGGGCGTGGTGAGGTCATGAGGATTCTGCCCCATCTCCACAAGGTCATCAATGAGGAGTGGATCTCAGATTTTAGACCGGGTAAGCTGAGGACCAGCTCATATCACGCCCATACGGTCTTCACTGACCTTTATCGGTCTGAAATTCACACTGAACTCATTCTCTCCCCAGATGGTAGGCCTGCGGATGACGGGTTGAAGCGGTAGCGCCTCAATCGGCCCAATGTGAAGGATGTTTAAACAAAGAGAGAACAGCCCGCCGCTGCTAAATGAATATAGGGGAAACACTGGCGGAGCCTGAGGGGAACAATGGAACATTCCTGATTTGGGTTCCATTTCCTATAGATCTGACCTGTGCTCAAACTATCTACTGAATTCCCGCATTGCTGGCATTGAAAAGGCTGATTTGCTGCTCCTAGTTGGCAGCAACCCACACTATGAGGCACCACTTTTCAACGCACGCATCAGGAAGAGGTATAGCTGGGAGGTCAGGGGCTGGGATGGGATGGGATTTAAGTGCTGTCAAGAATCACTGACATCTCAATTTGCATGTAAATAACTGTCATAGCCGTGTGCTGCTTCCAGCTCCTGACTTACGCTCTCTCTTTAAGTGGAAACTATCAATCTGAAACGTGTTACCACCATTAAGATGACTGGTGGTATTTTATGGATGCTTCATGTACCCCTGGTAGTTGGCTTCACAACGAGCTGCAGGTGGACTTGACCTACACATACAATAATCTGGGGGAGTCTGCTAAGGTCCTGCAGGAAGTAGTTGCTGGGACCCACCCCTTCTCTAAGGTAATCATGTATTATTTACACATCTCTGATGGTTGGTCACTAAGTGTAGTCATAGAGAATTCACTATGTCAGCAATGATTACAAATCTTGTTCCTAGGTTCTTAGCAAGGCAAAGCATCCTGTAGTAGTGCTGGGCAGTGGTTCCTTGCAGCGAGAGGATGGGGCCCGCCGAGACCTGCCAAAGGACAGCCTAATCATTTATCAGGGTCAGCAACGCTCTTCCACAACAGATACATAAAACCATTCTCTGGTGTGCAGCACAGAATAATATCCATGATCTTTAAGTGAGTCTTGTGTCAGATTGAATGTAGTTTTAGTTTCATAACTCTACACAGGGCACCATGGAGATGCTGGGGCGACGATGGCTGACATTCTCCCTGGAGTAGAACACACAGAGAAATGTAGCACCTATGATGAGGGCCGCGCCCAGCAGACCAGGCTGGCTGTGACCGCTCCAGGCATGGCCAGGCAGGACTGGAAGATCATACAGGCCATATGTGGTCCTCTGTAGCTCATCTGGTAGAGCACGGCGCTTGGTAACGCCAAGGTAGTGGGTTCGATCCCCGGGACCACCCATACACAAAAATCTATGCACGCATGACTGTAAGTCGCTTTGGATAAAAGCGTCTGCTAAATGGCATATTATTATTTATTATTATATCCGAGGTAAACTAATGTTTCACCACACTAATCAGTGAATGTGTTCAGTAGTAATTTCATGAGTTAATGTTGTTGTTGTTGGGGGGGGGTGGGGTTACCCTAAAGCTTGCTGGAGTGACACTGCCCTACGACACCATGGATGAGGTGCGTGACAGATTGGCGGAGGTTTCACCCAACCTGCACTATGATGCCATGGGGAGGCCTTTAAGCAGGCAAATGAACTGGTCAAGGTTAGGATCACTGCAGTACACCCACACAAACACCTCTCTCTTCCCTGGAGCTCCCTAAAAAATATAGTTAGTGGTCCTCTAATGACGGAGGAAACCTAGTTGGCCTAAATAAAACCTCTCCTATAAACATATTACTGTTTTGACATTATTCTCTCATGCCTATGGTTAGTGAGGTTGTTAACTAATAATGTCTGTCTTCTACCTCAGGCTGTGAATCAGACTGTCCTCACAGAGCCTCTGGTCTCTCCCCAGCTCACTGTTCGAGACTTTTACATGACAGGTGAGTAGTGCTGAGCGATTAGTGCTTTTTGAGGTCGGTTCTGTTTCGGTTAGATTATAAACAAATAATGACGGATTTCGGTTTCGATAATTTATTTTTAAACATTAAATGAACTATTCACTATGTGTGTTGAATGCTGTAACAACACAGAATAAAACAATTAATAAGTCCCATGATGGTAGTGACTGTCCATTACTGCTTATCACTTATTAACCATCATTTATTCACATTACTTTACTTTAATAAAATATTTCAGTTGTTGTGTAGGCTATATTACATTGTTTTATTTGATGACTTTTTATTATTTCAAGTCATCTCTTTTTATAGAGCTGCTGTCTGGGGAAAAAAAAACTATTTTGTAGTTCAAAGTAAATAAGGCATACTTTTATGACTGCTGAATACCAACTATCAATCACTTAGATCATATTTTCAGGTAGAGAGACCTCTCGAAGCAACAGCTGCTCTCTGTATCACCTCACGATCCGCACATTCTTCTCTCTTATGTAGCAGGCGTAAAAGAAACACAGACCGACAAGTAGCTGCGCAATGGATTATGGTCATTGTAGTTAGTTACCACGTTTTACTATACTCTATACTATATAGAATATTGGCGTGTTGGAAACTACACCTCCCTACTACATTGCACAGTTCAGTCAGGATCTGATTTATCTTTAGAGAAACTGTGCGATGGTGCATTGAGCTCAAAAAAGAAGAAGAAATGGAATTCAAATAATTGAACCAACATCGGTCAATTAGTTGTTTAAAAAAACTGAAAAATAACAGAAATGTTTGTTAATCGCTCAGCACTGCAGATGAGACTTGGCTACTGACTTCGCTGTCTGTTTTTACTACTGTATGTGAATGTTGTGTTCACTGCTTGACTTGGACTGAAATAGGTGCCGGTACTCATTTTGGGTGCCGGTACTGTTTACATTTAGTTGCAGGAGATCCACAATACTTTTGAGCTAACATTCTATAAGAGGAACAGAAGCTCAAGCAGTAGAACATTTGAGGTACCAGTACTCGGCTCCGGTGAGCTCCTGCCCAAGTCAAGCGCTGGTTGTGTTAATATATCCCTCTTGTCTACAGATCCAATCAGCAGAGCCTCCCAGACCATGGCTAAGTGTGTGAAGGCTGTGACCGAAGGAGCCCGAGCTATAGAGGAGCCATCCATATGCTAAAGTTCTGTTTTCCAGTCATTCCTGTCTACATGTAAAAGCCGTCTATCCAACTCTCACACTTACAGAAATAACCCTTAGGCCTACATACATCCATAGAAATGTAATTAAATGCTGTCCGGTGTCATTGTAATAGATTCCAGCCTGTTCGACTGTCACACACCTATAGAAATAAGCTGCACATCTACAGAAATATATTAAAGTAACTGTCCAGTGTTTCCAGATTTCTGTGAAATATGACTGATAATTACCATATGAGTGAAAAATGTTTTTATTAAGTATGTTAAATAGCAGTGTTTCTGTGTTGGAATGGTGTGGGCATACCCCAACAACAGAATGGTCTTGGCGTATACCGGTCATAAAAATATTCATTCGAGTAGACCACTGATTGGCCAGCTCATCCTCCTCAGGAGGATAACATCATCCTCTATCAGGAAATAGCAAGCATTTTTGAAACGGTCGGTTTGAGATATAAGTTTGAGGTGGGGGTTTTTAAGTGTTTATTTTTCTCCAATTTATGCTTTGGTCACAAATATGAGTCAACAACATTATTTGGGTATGCGTTAACAAACTATGAACTTTTAAAAGTGAGAATTTCACTGGACAGTTATTTTAATGTATTCAGTAAAGTCAATGCGATAGATACAGTACCTATCCAATCCTCATTTATAAAAACAGCTGTTAAACATCCATAGACACATACTTATTATGCAGTAAAGTCATTGTTATAGATGCATATTCATCTCTCACTCTATATGCACAACGTCTTACCCTATACGGCAGCGGTTCTCAAACCTATCCTCGGGACCCCCAGCCGTTCCATCCATTTGATGTATTCCAGAGCTGGCACACCTGATTTTAACTCGTCAACTAATCATCAAGCCCTTGACTAGTTGAATCAGGTGAGCTAGTTCAGAGCTACAACAAAATTGTGAAACGTCTGGGTCCCTGAGGAGAGGTTTGAGAACCACTGCAGCATACCTCCCGAGTGGCGCAGTGGTCTAAGGCACTGCATCGCAGTGCTAGCTGTGCCACTAGAGATCCTGGTTTGAATCCAGGCTCTGTCGTAGCCGGCCGCGACCGGGAGACCCATGGGGCGGCGCACAATTGGCCCAGCGTCGTCCAGGGTAGGGGAGGGAATGGCCAGCAGGGATGTAGCTCAGTTGGTAGAGCATGGTGTTTGCAACGCCAGGGTTGTGGGTTTGAAAAATACAAAAAAAATAATGTATGCACTCACTAACTGTAAGTTGCTCTGGATAAGAGTGTCTGCTAAATGACTAAAAATGTCAAATGTAATACACACAACTTCCTGATACCCTTTAATGACCAAATGCCTTACAAGCACCGTTCAGTCTTCCAGCTGACACCAGCATAAATAGTTTATTTCCTGTATGTATATTACAGCTGTGAATTGTGTAAAGATTGTATTTTCCCCAATGACTATTGAGAATACGCTGCTTTCTAGATAATGTATACAAGAACATATTTAATTAATATATTTTTCTTCAGTAATAATCAATGGTAAAGAACAACATGTTCTTAATCTTTGTAGATAGATTGTGCTGACCAATGGCTCTATCACAGTGGAATATCTTATGTGCCACTATATTATTATTATAGCACAGTTTATATCAGTGATCACAAATATTTGTATTACACTGTTGAAATAGATCAAATTTACTAAATTGTAATACCTTCATTAAATACTTGTTTATAATCACAAACGCATGTATTATGGTCAAATTGAGCTGGTCACAAGTGCCTTGCAAATCAATAAGGTAAGAAAGTGTTTTAAAAAATAAATAAAACGTTTAAATATTTTCCTTAGGGAAAGAAGAAGACAAATGTGGAGTATAGGGCCTTAAACTGTGTTCAATTAACGGTTTACAGTTCCAAGCGGTTAGTAGGTGATGGGGACGTGCTGCATCAGCATCAGCATTGGGCAACAATGTTGCAGCCAGAGTAAAAGAATGTGACATCCGCCGTTGCCAGAAAGGAATTTGACATGTGTTATAACACAGAGTTTCTAAACCAGGTTGATTTAAGTAGTGAAATGTCACTTATTTAAAAGTACATAACTATAGCTACTCTACCTTTCAATCAGCATTGCCATGCATGCACTCGAGAAGGCATAACATTGCATTTCTTCACTGCTGTGGTTTATACAAAGTTGAATTTCCAATATGGTGTAGAGGTTGTTGTTGTACAGTGGACTGTTGTCATGTCCCCGCAGTGCCTGTAGTGGTGCTGTGTGGAGTCTGCTGTGGACTGATCTAAAATCCTCAGCAGCTCCCAACTGCTAATGTTTGCTGTGGATAATCTACATTTACATGCATCAGTATTTTCAATGATATTATATTCGGATAGGAGCATTATTAGTTTCCTAAAATATCGAATATCGATGCACAAATAGGCGAGCTGGTTGTAATAGGCACTTCTACTATATCAGGAGCGAATACCTTACACAGCCTATACCAATTGAAGGTAAGTGAAGCCACTTCACAGCCTCGACTTCGATTTTTGGAGAGGCCGCTTATGGCGCAGGACTAGTCGGACGACTGTGCTACTCGAGGCCCTAGGGTTACTAGGTCTGATGGGCCTTATCGTTTCATGTTAAATGTTTAACTTTTGATTGTTATCTGTATCACACAACATATGATTATGATAGTTAAGGAGTTGTTTTATAATATACAGATATTTACAACTTTTCGTTATTCACCTAAATGTATTAATTTTCTTAAACAGAAAATAACTAGATGACTTGCGGCCAATATTTAGTTTTAAGGCCTTTTTGAACGGGCCTCTGTGCCTCCCCTAGCCTTTGTTTGCTATTGGCCACAAATTAGGCTTTGTTTGATTGTCGTGAAATCCTAATCTGAAGTACTTTTTATATTTTAAACTATTTCCAAATACATTTCAGTGTATTGTAAATTGACCATCATATTTCATAGAAATCTTCTGTGTATTGATGTTTCCGTTTCCTGGCTACTGCTACTTGTGTTTTTAGCGTAGTTAGCTAATTTGTTAGCTACCTATCACTAGACAGTAGCAGGCTACAATGGTAATTTTCTAAGGTCGTTTTATTGTATGAAGTTAATGTAGATATTTGGTTAACGTATACATTTGTACTTGTCCAATGCCTATACTCTGTTTTCGGATGATTGCAAATTTGCCAGAATGTAGCTAGTTAGTTAGCAAGTTAACTACCCCTACAAATCTAGGTAGCTATCGTTAACTTGCTCGGTTTGTTAACTTTACCTAACTAGGTTACTAGCTACGCGAGATAACGTTAGGTAGCAAGTAGGAAAATAGACTAACGTTAGCTAGCTATTTGTTTTGATAGCTAGTAGGTACCTAGTTAGAACAATGAGCTTTGCAAATCTGTGTAGCTAGTATTTGTTGCGCTGTTTAGCAAATAATTAGCTAATTTGCGCAGCTAACTCCCAATCTAAGCTTGTTTATTTCAATTTGCTCAAGTGTGCACATTTGCATGCATGTAGTTACTGTTAGCTATGCAATTCCTCCAGGAGTAATCAAAACGTTAGCTAGATAGTTAGCTAATAGCTATGTTTTTACGATTGACACATTTAATTCAATGTTATGTGGACACACTGTACTATATTACCCTCAGTTTGGAGTAACTGGTGACGTTTCTGTCGAGCAAATGACATTGTGACAATACAGTCAGTGTCCATATCCTGCATTTGCATGTAACAGAAACCTTAAATCTGACGCTGCATCACGTGCCCATGAATTGACAGTAGCCACAGGTATGGGAAAGCATACAGTCTAAATTCTAAACCTGGCTGTGCTAAGGCAACAATTTCCCTTACATCATTGGTTCAAAAACAAATTAAGATTAAGTCATATGCCACAGAGGTGTATCTTAACATTTACAATCTCACCGTTGATTTCTTAGAACATCTTCCTAAAATTTTAGTGTGTTTGCATTATTATTTTTTTTTTTTACACTAGTAGACAATGTTCTGTACCACATGAACAAATTCTTAATTAGTTGCCTGAATTGTGCATGTTAATGGTGGTCCTCTGTAGCTCAATTGGTAGAGCATGGCGCTTGTAACGCCAGGGTGGTGGGTTTGATCCCCGGGACCACCCATACGTAAAAATGTATGCACGCATGACTGTAAATCGCTTTGGATTAAAGCGTCTGCTAAATGGCATATTATTTATTATAATGTTCTTGCTAGCAACAGTCAAACTATAGAGTCAGGGGAGGTGTAAATGTTTATTTCTGTACCCTCGGTCTGTTTGTGTTTGTCTTGTTTGCATATTCAGGGCAGTCTCAGTGATTACTGTGCATAATGTAAGACTAATGCGTTTCCCCTCTCCCATCAGCTGATGTTCTCAAGGACCAGAGTCACGTGATGTATGAGGGCAAACACATCCACTTCTCGGAGGTGGACAATAAGCCATTGTGCTCATACAGCCCAAAGCTCTGCAAGCAGCGCAGACTCAATGGCTATGCCTTCTGTATCCGTCATGTCCTGGAGGATAAGACCGCCCCCTTCAAGCAATGTGAATATGTGGCCAAGTACAACAGCCAACGATGCACCAACCCCATCCCCAAGTCTGAGGACCGCAGGTGGGTGTGGCGTTCCAATAGAGGCTGTCCTCGGCACAGAAGACGTCAGGTCTTTGTGATTGATTTATCTGTTATAGTTGTGAACAGCATGTTAAAGATGTGTTTGTTCCACAGATACTGTAACAGCCACCTCCAAGTTCTTGGGTTTATCCCCAAGAAGGAGCGGAAGAAGAAGCACGATGCATTGGAGGAGATGCGCTCACGACCTCACCTGGAGTCAGTGGCTCTTAACATAACTGTGCCCTCGCTGGCTCTGAAGGCCTCCAATGGCCTGGATGAGCTGCCACCCTTTCCACCCTGCACCCGTCTGCTATCCCCTCCAGATGGGGAGCTCCTGGACCCTTTTGCCTTCTACGAGGACACTGACGGGGAAGAGGGCCCTCCTCGGAAGGGCTCCACCGTCAGGAAGAAACTACACAGTCGACTGTTGCTCAGCCAGAAACTCCAGCTCCGCCATCACGACAATGCCCTCCTCCAACCACCTCCAGAGCACTTTAGCCCCTCTCCTCTCACCTGCGTGCACCGCTCTTCGCCCCTCCATCCTCATCTTCCCCGTCAGCAGCAGACAGGACTCCTCCAGCCCCTCCAGCAATCCACCATGCCTTCGTTTGTCCTCCCAGGACAGCAGCAGGGTTTATTATGCAAGCCAGCTCCACCTCAGACTCCCGCCTTTCTGCCTGTCGGGCTGCCCCCCAACACAGCTCCCAGTCCGCCGCAGTCCTCCTGTCCCCCTCTCAGCAGGAAAGCCACGCCCATGCCATGCAGTAGCTGGGACAGCGCTCAGCGGCATTTGGTGGCCATGCGCCCGGCTGCCTTCTCACCTCCCCCTGCCTGCCTGGCCAGGTTACAGCATCTGGTGCAGCTCTGCGCCCAAAGACATCAGGAGCACGGAGACCTGTTCCATCATCTAGGTACCTCTCCTCCCTATTCACATGACATACTGTATTTGGCTTATTAGTTGAACGTGGGCTTGTATTGGGTCTGTGTAAGGTCAATAAAGATACTGCTGAGACCAGCTGTACTGACAGGTTATCTTCTTTTCAGGGTTGGACTGGTCTGAAGACAGTTCAGAGGATGATGACGTGGAGGCAGAGAGAGTTCCACCCTATCACAACGCCTGGAGACTACAGGAAGGACACCTGCAGGACGTGTAAGTTCCTTACTCACGTAGTTAGGCTATCATGAAATCAGACATTATTTGTTTTTGACTTGTTTATTTTTCTATTGCAGCTCAGATGAAGATGCTTGCAGCTCGCGGAGAACGCGGCTGGCTCGCCTGTGCTCATACCTCCAGGAGAAATACAAGCACCTGTGCAGGCAGGAGAGGGCTACTACGCGCCAGAAGAGATACCACTATGCCTTCCGCAAAGCCCTGCTGCACGCCGCCAGTAAAGACCCCGACTGTGCTGGCCAGTTGATTCAGAAGCTGCGCAAGGTCTCCCAGAACTCAAGGTAAAGTAAACACTCAACACTGTGCACAACACTCCCATTTATGCAATTGAGCCTGACTAACCTGGTCAATCTCCTCCAATACCATATCAATGGGAAAATGTCAAAATGAATGACTTATTCATGAATAACTAGTGTCATGCGTTTTCCCCGGGTTCTGGATACCAAAGTCTTTAGGTAACGTTTTTCCATGTTGTGATGCGAATACATCCTCATTTGAACATGGCCCCTTATTTAAATTGTATCTGTGAGTGTTTATTTCTATGTGTATTGTAATTGCAGGTTCCTGCTTAACTTACATTATTCATATCATGCCATAGTAGAGATCTCGTTTCACCTGAACCATTTAAAAGTGTTTAGTAATTGAGTGTGTCTGAATTTGTTATTGGCTAAAGAGGTAATTGTAGGCCCCTCCCACTAAGTGAGATGATGAGCGACAGCTGTTTGTGGGAGAGTGCCAGTAGGGAAGAGCATTAAGCAGGGACAGACCAGCGAAGATTATTATTTGATAATTGGTCTTAATCTTTTAGTCCTTGTTTTTACCATTTTATCTCTTTGCCATTTTGAAGCCTTTTTTTGTAATGTATATATTTATTGAAAATACTCCAAATTTGGAAGAAACTGTTGCAGTTCTTTTAGTAAAACCCTTTTCTATGTGAAGGGCATCGGCCAGCCCTCTCACACTGGTCATGTGGTCAGTAATGATAGTTGTGTTGTGAAGAGCCGAGGGAGTGTTGATATGGTTGTGTCCTGAGCGTGGGGTCTATCTGTCTCTCTCCTCAGTGCGCCGGGGCAGCAGCACACGGAGACGGGAATCTGCACTGGAAGCACCAAGGGCCAGGCCTGTAGCAGCCGAGCTCTACCCTTCACCCAACACTGCTTCCAGCGTATCCTTTTCACCCACCTCTTACATGGCACACTGGACTGTTGGGACCAAACTGTCATTTATTGGGGAATATTGCTTTACAACTAGTCGTAATAGAACTTAAGACTCAAAGTATGGATCCTGTTTTTGAGACATGACAGTTGTCCTCTTTTCCATTGGAGTGCTTCCTTCACGGTTTCTCTGCAGACATTCTGTTGAATCGCTCCCAGCAGCTCTTCTCCAGTTGCACAGCCAAATTTGCCGATGGACAACAGTGCTCCATTCCTGTGTTTGACATCACGCATCAGACACCGCTCTGTGAGGAGCATGCCAAAAAGATGGTCAGTACATTGGGAGTACCATTGTTATACATGTGCCACATTATCTGCTCTGTGATAAAATACTTACGGACATGTGTTTTTTTCTCTATAGGACAATTTCTTGCGTGGAGACGGTAACCGAAGAGTGCAGCACCAGCAGCAGCAGCGAAAGCCGCGTAAGAAGACCAAACCGCCTGCGCTCACCAAGAAACACAAGAAGAAGAGGAGGAAAGGGCCGTGGCGGCCCCAGAAGCCCATCCCGCCGGCGCTGCCCCAGGGGAACCTGGGAATGCCTTCCTCCTCCAGCCTGACCATGCCCACCCAGGCCAGCATCAGGTCTGTCCCCAGAACCACCAGGTCTCTGACTGTGTCTGAAATGGCACCCTATTCCCTATATAGTGCACTACTTTTGATCATAAGGTAGTGCACTACATAGGGAATTTGGGTGCCATTTGGGACACAGTCTTTCTCTTTCTAACAGCTCTACTATGAACCAGTGGCAGTGGTGCCGTTATAAGATGAGGGAGGAGCCCTTTAATTAAAAAAAAAATTGAGCATGGCCTTATTTCTATTACAGCATATTGGATGACTGTCATTCATATTCCATTCACCCAGCTCCGTGTAACATCTATAGGTTTAGGCTACTACATGATACTCTAATTTTCCCCTATGCCCATCATGAGTTTGCTATAACCTAGCCTACGAATGAAAGTTTACAACGTGGGTGCACAGGTCGAGAGAAATTTGAGTAATCAAGGTGACAGACAGTGACACATTCAATACAGCCTTGCACATGCCTGCCTGCATCTAACTGATCTAGGGTGTATTCATTAGTCCAACAGTTGTAAACAAGAGTTTCTATTGGACAAATTCAGGTATGTTTATCCCCGTTCTGTTTACGAAATGTTTTTCAACAGAATCGGCAGAATGAATACACCACTGATCACCTGCAAACACAGTTCACGTTCACAGCAGCCACATACAAACAGCATGATCCCTTTGATCGTTGTATAATTCCTTCTCGCTTCAACACGCTCTCCTCCTCTCACCTTTTCCCTTCGCTTGTGGACTTCAGTGCACAACACAACAGCAGTCTGTGACCAGGCGGAAAAAAAAACTTTCCAAGCCAAACCTTCATATCATAACCACTAACCGCTACACACAGCCTTCATCGTTTTCACCATATTAGCTAACGTCATAGTCCAAATCAAATTGTATTTACTGTGAAATGCTTACTTACAAGCCCTTAACCAACAATGCAGTTAAGAAAATAGAGTTAAGAAAATATTTACGAAATAAACTAAAGTGAAAAATAAAAGAGCAACAATAAAATAACAATACTGAGGCTATATACAGGGGGGTACCGAGTCACTGTGCGGGGGTATAGGTTAGTAGAGGTAATTGAGGTAATATGTACATGTACAGTGACTATGCATAGATAATAGATCATAAACAGCAAGTAGCAGCAGCGTAAAAAAAGGGGGAGGGGGGGGGGGGTAGCCATTTGATTAGCTGTTCAGCAGTCTTATGGCTTGGGGGTAGAAGCTGTAGAACTTTTTGAGGATCTGAGGACACATGCCAAATATTTTCAGTCTCCTGAGGGGGATTTAGGCGTTGTTGTGCCCTCTTCACGACTGTCTTGGTGTGTTTGGACCATGATAGTTTGTTGGCGATGTGGACACCAAGGAACTTGAAGCTCTCAACCTGCTCTACTACAGCCCCGTCGATGAGAATGGGGGCGTGCTCGGCCCTCCTTTTCCTGTAGTCCACGATCATCTCCTTTTGTCTTGATCACGTTGAGGGAGAGGTTGTTATCCTGGCACCACACTGCCAGGTCTCTGACCTCTTCCCTATAGGCTGTCTCATCGTTGATGGTGATCAGGCCTACCACCGTTGTGTCGTCAGCAAACTTAATGATGGTGTTGGAGTCGTGCTTGGCCATGCAGTCATGGGTGAACAGGGAGTACAGGAGGGGACTAAGCACGTACCCCTGAGGGGCCCCCGTGTTGAGGATCAGCGTGGCAGATGTGTTATTGCCTACCCTTACCAACTGGGGGCGGCCCGTCAGGAAATCCAGGATCCAGTTGCAGAGGGAGGTGTTTAGTCCCAGGGTCCTTAGGGATGAGTTTTGTGGGCAACATGGTGTTGAACGCTGAGCTGTAGTCAATGAACAGCATTCTCACGTAGGTGTTCCTTTTGTCCAGGTGGGAAAAGGCAGTGTTGAGTGCAATAGAGATTGCGTCATTTGTGGATCTGTTGGGGCGGTATGCAAATTGGAATGGGTCTAGGGTTTCTGGGATGATGGTGTTGATGTGAGCCATGACCAGCCTTTCAAAGCACTTCATGGCTACAGACGTGAGTGCTACGGGTCAGTAGTCATTTAGGCAGGTTACCTGTTCTTTGGTACAGGGACTATGGTGGATGGCTTGAAACATGTTGGTATTACAGACTCAGTCAGGGACATGTTGAAAATGCCAGTGAAGACAGTTGCCAGTTGGTCAGCGCATGCTCTGAGTACACTTCCTGGTAATCCGTCTGGCACCGCGGCCTTGTGAATGTTGACCTGTTTAAAGGTCTTAATCACATCGGCTACGGTGAGTGTGATCACACAGTCGTCCGGAACAGCTGGTGCTCTCATGTATGCTTCAGTGTTGCTTGCCTCGAAGCGCGCATAGAAGTCATTTAGCTCATCTGGTAGGCTTGTGTTACTGGGCAGCTCGCGGCTGGGCTTCCCTTTGTGGTCCGTAATAGTTTGCAAGCCCTGCCACATCCGACGAGCGTCGGAGCCGGCACAGTAGGATTCAATCTTAGTCCTGTATTTACGCTTTGCCTGTTTGATGGTTCGTCTTAGGTCATAGCGGGATTTCTTATAAGCGTCCTGGTTAGAGTCCCGCTCCTTGAAAGCGGCAGCTCTACCCTTGAGCTCAGTGCGGATGTTGCCTGTAATCCATGGCTTCTGGTTGAGGTATGTACGTATGGTCACTGTGGGGACAACGTCATTGATGCACTTCTTGATAAAGCCGGTGACTGATGTGGTATACTCCTCAATGCCATCGGATGAGTCCCGGAACATATTCCAGTCTGTGCTAGCAAAACAGTCCTGTAGCTTAGCATCTGCGTCATCTGACCACTTCCGTATTGAGCGAGTCAGTGGTTTGTGGTGGTAAATAGACAGCTACGAAAAATATAGATAAACTCTCTTGGTAAATAGTGGGGTCTACAGCTTATCATGAGATACACTACCTCAGGCGAGCAAAACCTAGAGACTTCCTTAATATTTGATTTCACCCACCAGCTGTTATTGACAAATAGACACAGACCGCCACCCCTTGTCTTACCGGAGGCAGCTGTTCTGTCTTGCCGATGCACGGAAAAACCAGCCAACTGTATATTATCCATGTTGTCATTCAGCCAAGACTCTGTGAAACATAAGATATTGCCGTTTTTAATGTCCCGTTGGTAGGATAGTCTTGAACGGAGCTCATCCAGTTTATTCTCCAATGAGTGCACGTTGGCCAATAGGACGGATGGTAGAGGCGGGTTACCCACTCGCCGACGAATTCTCACAAGGCACCCGTACCTGCGTCCCCTGTATCTGTGTCTTCTCTTCACGCGAATGACAGGGATTTGGGCCTGGTGGTGGTATCTGGAGTAAATCCTTCGCGTCTGACTCGTTAAATAAAAAATCTTCGTCCAGTTCGAGGTGAGTAATCGCTGTTCTGATATCCAGAAGCTATTTTCGGTCGTAAGAGACAGTGGCAGAAACATTAGTTACAAAATAAGTTACAAATAACGTGAAAAAACACACAAAATAGCACAATTGGTTAGGAGCCCGTAAAACGGCAGCCATCTCCTCCGGCGCATTAACATAGCTACTAGAACTAACGTGTTAGTAAACCCGCTACAATCATGCAGTACAGTGTACAGCAAGCAGTTTAGCAATTACACCGGCAGGCCCCGGTGGCAATAAATTAATAAAACCAGTCTTACCTTGACTTGGAAGAGTTCCAGTGTTGGATAGCCTTAGCCAGCTAGCTAACATAGCATCCCTCTCTGTTTATTAATAATAATAATAATAATAATAATATGCCATTTAGCAGACGCTTTTATCCAAAGCGACTTACAGTCATGCGTGCATACATTTTTTTTTTTGTGTGTATGGGTGGTCCCGGGGATTGAACCCACTACCCTGGCGTTACAAGCGCCGTGCTCTACCAGCTGAGCTGGGTGTTTGAGTTGGCTAAACAAGCTAGCTGTGAAAGTGAAAAAAATATAACGAAATATAGCTCTCTCTCTTGCTTCTCCTTCATTTTTTAAAGAAATGTATTTGTTCAAAACTGTTCAACTATTGTCTTTCTCTCTCTTTACATTTACATTTTAGTAATTTAGCAGACGCTCTTATCCAGAGCGACTTACAGTTAGTGAGTGCATACATTTTCATACTGGCCCCCTGTGGGAAACGAACCCACAACCCTGGCGTTGCAAGCGCCATGCTCTACCAACTGAGCTACAAGGGACTGAAAAAAAAAAAAATGAATCAACTACTCACCACATTTTATGCATTGCAGTGCTAGCTAGCTGTAGCTTATGCTTTCATTACTAGATTCATTCTCTGATATTTTGATTGGGTGGACATGTCAGTTTATGTTTTAGTCATTTAGCAGACGCTCTTATCCAGAGCGACATACAGGAGCAATTAGGGTTAGGTGCCTTGCTCAAGGGCACATCGACAGATTTTTCACCTAGTCGGCTCGGGGATTAGAACCAACGACCTTTCGGTTTCTGGCACAATGCTCTTAACCACTAAGCTACCTGCCGCCCAGTTCATGCTGCAAGAGCTCTGATAGGTTGGAGGACATCCTCCGGAAGTTGTCATAATTACTGTGTAAGTCTATGGAAGGGGGTGAGAACCATGAGCCTCCTAGGTTTTATATTGAAGTCGATGTACCCAGAGGAGGATGGAAACTAGCTGTCCTCCGGCTACACCATGGTGCTACCCTAGAGGGTGCTGTTGAGGCTACTGTAACCCTTCATTGCAAAACAGTGTTTTAATAAATTATTTGGTGACGTGAATATATTTAGTATAGTTTTATCTAAAAAGGATAACTTTTTTTTTTACATTTCACTTTTTTCTGAAATTCACTGAGGAGGATGGTCCTCCCCTTCCTCCTCTGAGGAGCCTCCACTGATATGAACACATTGTTCCAGACACTAGGAGTGTGTGCTGTGTATGCACAGTCCTTGTGTATTTGCTGAAGTTTTTTTTCTTGGTGGCAGGAGTCCCTCGACACCCGAACTGAGCACCGATGAGCTTCCTGATGACATCACCAATGACATGTCAGACATTCCAAACGACCTCGAGCTGAACCAGGAGGATTTCTCCGACGTGTTACCCAGGCTCCCCGATGACCTTCAGGACTTTGACTTGTTTGAAGGTAATTTGTTGTTATGGATTTCACCACTCTAGCTCCTATTCATAATGTTAGTTTATACTTCTAGTTTGAACTTTCTAGATAAGCTCTTAGGTGTGACATCAGCTACTATTATTATTACTATTATTGTCTTTACAAAAATAGTTTTATTTGAACAGGTTTGTCTGAATATTGTTATTGAATAAACTGAAGGCTCAACTATTTGCTCACATTTCTTCCTGCTCTCTGAGAAAGGGAGATGGTTGGTAGATAAATGATATTGTGTACATCCTCAGGTAAGAATGGGGAGCTGCTGCCCACCACCGAGGAGGCTGAGGAGTTGGTGAGAGCACTGCAGGCTGGGCTGATGGGCTCCTACCCAGACTCCCTGGTGTGCCTGACCTCCATGACGGAGCTGGCGCAGGACCACCGGGCCATGGCAGCAGTGTTCCCTGGGCCAGGGGTCCAGCCTGGGGGGATGGGGGACCTGCTCAACGGCCGCATCCCAGCAGAGAACTTCCCCAACCTGGAGCTGGAGGACAACCTGCTGCACTCTGCTGGTGGCCACTTCTCCCCCGCGGTGTCACCTCAGCAGCCCCCTGCCCAGGGCCAGACTCCTCCCTCGGGACCCAGCCTCACCTCCTCCACCCGCCCAGTCCCCCGGACACACCCGCCCCACATCTTGGCCAAGCCAGTGGCGCCCACCTCGCCTCCGCAGGGCATCCATTACAGCAGCGAGCATGTACCATCCCCCTACAGCGACCACATGTCCTCTCCCCACGCCACCTCCTTCCAGACTGACTCTCCTCTCCTGCTGGAGGTACCAAGCCCCCCGCGCTCCTCCTGGAACAACCTCCCCCTGCCCCTCACTGACCCCATACAGTTCGGCAATCTCATCAGACCAGAGGGCCACCTCGTATCCACCTCTCTGTCCACTCCCCTCTCTTCCACCTCCCACTCTGTGACCCTACAGCCCGTGGCTGCCCTCTCAGCGTTGCCCCAGAGCGGCTTGACGGGCTTGACTGCGCTCCCCGCCCTCTCGCCACCACGCGACCTCTTGACCTCCACCCAGCCCAAGCAGCAGCTCCCTCAGTTCAGTGCTGCCTTCGGCCACCAGCTGGCCTCCCACAGTGGCATCCCCAAGGACGTGCAGCCCAGTCACAGCTCCACAGCGCCCCCCACTGGCTTCTCCATAGCTAGTGCCACCGCTGCAACGCCCCCCTTTCCACACAGTAACTAGAGCCTTGCAGTGGCTGCAGGTCAAACCGTGGACTAAAAAACTCATTCACCCAGTGTCCATTCATTTCCCATCTACTTCCATCTGCTTCAAGTGTGCAATGTGGTAACAGACCTAACGGTTCCCTATTCTATCTGAATTTGCACAACCTCAGATATCCCTTAACTGTGTAATGATTTGGCGGTGATATAGCCAGTTGGCCATCTGAAAGGGTCCAGTGGTTTGACGTAAACGCAGCTCCAGGGTTTCGCCAACAGGGGGCGACGCTGGGCAGAGTGTTTGGAGGGAGGTGGCTGGGTAGAAACATCAAATGTTATTTGTCACATGCTTTGTGAACAGGTGTAGACTAGGACTAACAGTGAAATGCTTACTTATGAGTCCTTTCCCCAAAAATGCAGAGTTCAAGATGAGATGGATGTAGTGACACCAGGACTACATGGGTTGATGTAGAGGAACATTGGAGGAAGGACCTTAGTAGAGATTATTTATATCATAGTGACGGCAACAGTGCTAGAGAATACGTCAATCAGTGGTCCGTTTAAAAAAAAAAAATCATGTATTGCCAGTTTAGTTGTGTCTAACAGCCATCAACTACAATCCCCTGCGTAGTATTTGTACAGTGACGCACATTTTTTTTATTTGGCTCTATAGTCAAGCGTTTTGGATTTGAGATCAAATGTTTCATGAGGCGACAGTACAGAATGTTACCATTTATTTGAGGGTATTTTCATACATATCAGTTTTACCGTTTTTTAGAAACGAAAACACTATGTATCTAATCCCCCATTTTGAAGGTGTCCATAAGTATTTGGACAAATTCACTTGTTTATTAAAGTAGTCAAGTTTGGTATTTGGTCCCAGTTTCCCAGCACGCATCAAGATTGTGACTCTACAAACTTGTTGGATGCATTTGCAGTTTGTTTTGGTTGTTTCAGATTATGTTGTGTCCAATAGAATTTAAAGGTAAATAATGTATTGTCACTTATTGTAAATAAGAATAGAATGTTTCTAAACACTTCTACAATAATGTGGATGCTACCATGGTTACGGATAATCCTGAATGAGTCATACCCCCAAGGCATGCTCACCCCTCTCTATTATCAATAATGGGAGGTTAGCATTTTTTAGGGGGGTATGATATTTATGACTTAACTTTCTCACTCATTATTCATGATTATCTGTAATCATGGTAGCCTCCACTTTAATGTGGAAGTGTTCAGAAACACATTCTATTCTTTATAAAAAATACAAGTGACTCCAAAATGACACTACATTATTTACCATTAATTTTAATGGGGCACAAAATAATCTGAAACGCAAACTTATAATGCATCCAACAAGTTTGTGGAGTCACAAGCTTGATGTAATCATTGCGTGCTAGGAATATGCAACCAAATACTAAACCTTTTGACTGCTTTTAGTACACAGGGTAATTTTTCCAAATACTTATGAGGGGCATGAAGTGTTTTTTCATTTCTAAACGGTAATACGGATGTGTATGAAAATATCCTCAAATAAAAGGTGACATTCTGTTGCCTCATATGAAACAGTTGATCTCAAATCCAAAATGCTGCAGTATAGAGCCAAAGTAAACCTTTTAGCTTCACTGTCCAAATAAATACGTAGAGTGGTATATCCTGCCTTGATATGGTCATTGCATAGGTTCATCTGTTCCTCATTCACTGTTCCATTCACCTTTTAAAGAGATTCTAGGGTAGGTCCTTGTATGCGTGACCCATTATGAAGCAGAGGAAATTGCTCTGTCAAATCTTATCATGAAGTACAGTCCTGTCCTCCACAACTTAACAGAGAATTTGGCCAAACTACTTTTAAACAGCGTTTTTTTTTATATTGTATATATTTGCTCTATTGTCGGGTTACTCAGAAACGTAAAAGATATTTTGACCTCACCATTGTGGGACTCTTTATGGGTGGCTTATTAGCCACTTGAAGGTAAATTGTGTTACTTTAAGCAATAAACAGATTGACACACACTCTCGTCACAGTATTGTATTGGTCTCCACTTTATGTATCTTCACTATGTGGATTGGATATGTTTGGGCCTGTATAACTCTGTGACATAAAACCGTTTGTTCTAAATCAAGTCTGAACTGTCTGAGTAGAGATCTAGACTGTAACTGACCATCGAACAGGAAGCTTCTCTTGGGTCATACTGAGTAGTTATTGCAAGGGTTATGGCCGAATCCAGGGGATCGGGTGTCCACAACTCTCCATGGTGTTCTCTGGTCTCGCTATATAATGGCCTTTTAAAAGTGGGGGGGGTTTATTTTGATATCAGAACCACTGAGTACACCAAACATTAGGAACACCTTCCTAATATTGAGTTGCACCCCTCCTTTACCCTCAGAACGGCCTCAACTCGTCGGGGCATGGACTCTACAAGGAGTCGAAAGCGTTACACAGGGACGCTGGCCCATGTTGACTCCAATGCTTCCCACAGTTGTCAAGTTGGTTGGCTGTCCTTTGGGTGGTGGACCATTCTTGATACACAGGAAACTGTTGAGCATGAACCCATCAGCGTTGCAGTTCTTGACACAAACCGGTGTGCCTGGCACCTACTACGATACCCTGTTCAAAGGCACTTAAATCTTTTGTCTTGCCCATTCACCCTCGGATTGTGTGCCATTCAATATCTCAATTGTTTTGAGGCTTAAAAATCCTTTAACCTGTCTCCGCCCCTTCATCTACAGGGATTGAAGTGGATATAACAAGTGACATCAATAAGGGATCATAGCTTTCACCTGGTTAGTCTGTCATGGAAAGAGCAGGTGTTCTTAATGTTTTGTATACTCAGTGTAACTCCCCAGTAGAGGACCAGAAAGTCATCTTTCACTAGTCTAGCAGTGTATATGGATACGGTGGATGGGAATATGGACGTGAAATGATGGCCCCTTCTTTTAGCATCTTATCTGTTTGTGTGGTAGTGTGACACCATTGGTGTAAACTGGTGCAATGAGTATTTCTGAGGTATAGATAGCACTGTCTGTTGTACAAAAAAAACTATTCTCAGGTGCGTTAAGGTTAATGAAGCATGGGTCTCAATGTTAACTGTTAGGGAATGAGGATGGAATCTACTGGACAACTCTGCCCTGTCTGGTTCTAAACTCTACAGCAGTAAACCACGAGCTCTGTAGATTTAACTTTTTAGAAACTGAAAGATACTCATAATGTTAAGTATTAGATATATTTATAGGGTAGAGATCTACATTGGGTTTAATTGGTGAGTTAATGAGTGGCAATGGATTGAAAAATGAAGTAAAATAAAAAAGAATCTTGTCATTTGCGATGTGCTTGATGGAAACTTTTGTGGAACACCTTGTTTTAATGGCTATCAAAACTCGTAATTTCTCTTCAAAGTGAAATGGTCGATATTTGTGTACATTGTCATTTAGCTAACCAAACTGGCAAAATGTCTAATGTAAGACAGTATTTTTGATAGCTATTAAACTCCGGCAAGCAGTTGCTGATGAAAGGATTGCATGGAGAGACAACCTTACCGCTGAGTGCAAAGCCACAACATTTCTCCCTCGTTGTGATTACTGGATCGCTCTTGGTAGCAGTAAATCCAACCATAGCATAACCTTTTTTTTCTCCTTTGCAAGTACTAGGGATATACTGTACATAACAGCACCTGTAATCATTTTGGATTTGGAACACACAGCTGACCTGCTCTAAACAGCCCAGTAGGCATCTTGCCGTTTGTCATGATACGGAAAACTAACAATTGTCATAAACGACACACGCACTGCTTAGACCTGAGCAGGCCCCACTTCCAACTGTGAGAAGGCCTAGTTATTTCAAAGAGACAGACATTACCAGAGCAGATGCTTCAAGTTTTATTTTTTTGCTTGACCACAGCATTGTTCCTAGATGTACAGCCCCTAGGAATTAGGTGGGCTGGAATGTTTTCTTGAATTTGCGCAAACAAGGCATTATTGCTGTATTCACAAAGCATGATATTAGATTCATTGCAGTTAGACTCCTCACCAACCACATAGAACAAACTCAGCAGGGCTCTGTAGGCACTTGTAACTGCTTAAAATCTGAGAGATGGCTGACAAATTCCTATACTCACTGAATGTACTGTATTACTGTTTTTAAAGATGATGAGCTAATAATAATATAGCCACCTTTTGTTATCGGTCCTTGTTCATTTGTCTAAGGTATTTTTTTGTATACAAAAGGTTTACATTTGTATGTATATTTTTCTTGTGTACAAATGATGTAATATGTGTATAAACACTATGTAATATGTGTATATAGTGTGATGAAATGTGATCTTTTGTTTTTGGATGTATAAATAAAACTAAGTCAAAGTCAGAATACAGCGTATCTGTAGAGACACCTCCGCCACACCTTTAGCTCTTAGATCTCCGCCCCGAAAAAAAAATAGCGGGTGAATAGCATGCTATTCTCATGCTTAAATCAAGGTCAGAATACGCGTAGAGAGAAAAGTGCATGCAAATTGAATAATTCCACCACCTTTACGCGAGGAAACCATGACTACGGTCTAGGTAACCTGCCAGTTCCAAGTGGGAAAAGATTTATTTTCCCCCCCCCAATAGAAATAACAGCATTCTCCATGCACTGTAATTTATAAACGGGTAAGAGCGTTTGTAAATGAGTAATCCGTTTGGAGAAGGGGATTATAAATACACATAGCAATTGTTTTAGATAATTTTTCCTTATGATCCCTCGAGATTAAAGTGAAACCGGTCATATGGAAGCAAACTGAAAATCATATCAATATGACATGTATTGGGACCCCATTTCCACAGTGAAATAGGCTATAAATAGCTGTGCCCTCAATTTGCGTGGATGACATTTTGACACCCAAGCTAAAGGGTTCTGTAGGTCTGAACTTGCCGAGTTGATGTATGCGCTTTAGAACGTTTTAATTATAGCCAATGCCCGGACTTTTCTACGTTTTATTTTACAATGTGTATCATGATAAATATTAGCCGCATTTATAACTGTCACTTTAGTGTTAAGTTTTCTTCAATTTGTAGCTTGTATTTAGCATCATTGCATTCCATTCCGTTGACCTTTCCTCTGTCACATCCGTGTAAAATTGTTCCTGAGGGTCGTTAGTGTTTGTTGGATCATATTAGGCTAATGAGGTGCAATACATTCGGGGCATGTCCTATAAATCTACCATCTAATCACTATGGAACTCAGACCAAACGGTTAAACCTGGAGCGTGATTAGTGAGAATTAGGGCACCCCTATTGGACACTCCCCCCCTCTCCCCCCAATATATTTAGTGCGTAAAGGCTCTCCAAACCCATTTGTGATTCATTCATACTTTCCTAACCCTAAAATTTGCCTAAATAATCTATAAAATCCATTTAAAAAAATCTACCAGTTGGTATTGAAATGGAGACAAATATGCATATATTTAGATGGCTTTCTTTAATTTATCCCTATTTTCTGAACGCATTCTCTCGATGTATTCTAGTCTGTCGACAAAATTCTAATTAAAAAGGTCAACCGTGTTTAAGATGAATGTACTCAAAACCCTATTGAATAACAACTCCACGATAAAGTCTGTTGGCAAGGAAGTGGGAGGGTTTTCAGCGGTTTAATTACATTTAATTAGCGCGCGCAAGGGAACCACGCCTGCAAAGCCCGTTTCGCACCTTCATAAAGGTAACTCGGAATACCAACTACTGAGAAGTGTGTAGGAAAGGCATTATTTCCTGTCGGAATCCGGCCCTAATTGCCTGCCTCTGCAAGTCACAAAGGCATGCTTTCATGACTAATCTAACTTCAGGTCCTTTTTGCCCCTCGCCCTGTCAAGGATGTAACCACATGAGAACAGAACTGAATGCACACAGTACTAACCAAACAGCCAGCATCCTAATGTACTGTTTCTTTCATTAATGGTTTAAAAAAAAAAAAAAATCTGACAACTTTGTGAATTTACTTAAAAAGCTGCACTGTGGTATTGCATTGTTTAAGCTATGTAATGCTGGTAAAACAATATTGCTCCACACAAAGAAATATCCATTTAAAATTAGCATTAGATTTTAATCACTTGAAAGCTTACAAGGACTCCAATACCTTGGACATAAGCAAGGATTATATACAGGACTATAAACTGTCAGCAATGTTACAGAAAATGAAATGTCAATGTTATGATCATTAATAAAGAGGACAATGTTTTATTTATTTATTCTATACTCTTTTGAGTTATAAAAATATTATTGTTCCATAGAATATACCTGTGCTGAGAAATGTGTCCTGACAACCCCACTGCTTTATTGCCATACTTAAAAAAGGTACACTAGTAATCATGTAAGATATGACAACGAAAAAAACTATGGCCTCAAGTACCATCTCTCTTTGTTGAATCCTGAAGAAACGCTTACAAAAGTGCCAACACTGAAATAATACAACTGGACAGTCTCCACAAGGTGCAAATTACAAAACCAAAAAAGACAGGCATACATCCATACATGGCATTATCATGTGTGACATGAGGGGAGGGGGGGGGGGGGGGGGGGGGGGGGATAATGGATATAGATGCAGGGGTTCTGTCAAATGTTGGCAAACAGTTCAACAGAAGGGGTATCAAACAAGGGACCATTTGAGAAATGGTGGATCTGTTGGGGCGGTATGCAAATTGGAGTAGGTCTAGGGTTTCTGGGATGATGGTGTCGATGTGAGCCATGTTCTTTACATTTTAGTTATTTAGCAGATGCTCTTATCCAGAGCGACTTACAGTTAGTGAGTGCATACATTTTCGTACTGGTCCCCCGTGGGAATCAAACCCACAACCCTGGCGTTGCAAGCGCCATGCTCTACCAACTGAGCCACATGTCTAGTGCATTCCTACAGATCCTGTTAGCAGGAGACAGAAGACGCAGGAGACAGAAGACGCAAGGTAATAATAATATAATATTTGCCATTTAGCAGACGCATTTATCCAAAGCGACTTACAGTCATACATTTTAAGTATGGGTGGTCCCGGGAATCGAACCCACTACCCTGGCATTACAAGCACCATGCTCTCTCTACCAACTGAGCTACAAAGGACCACAAAGTAAATTTCATCCTGAAGGGGGGGGGTACTTCTGTTTTTAACTAGTACGCTATTTACTACATAGCTACAGCTAGACAGGTTTGCATGTTGAATTTTAACTAATAAAGCAAAGTGATTCCAACCCCAAATGCCCAAAACTCAAGAGGGAAAAACATCAGCACTGGACATTTCACATTGGTCTGAACACAGCTAATGCAAAGAACGTTTCCAGTAGCTGTTGAAATCCTATTGGGAGACCCAGTGTTCGTACTTCTGTGTGCTTTATGAAGCTATAGTATCTAACCTCATGTAAAAAGCTAAAACCATTACAAAAAATAAAAAAAGCTGATGTAAATCAATTCTTAAATTTGTCCATGCTGCCATAGCGTGGGATTAAAAGTTCACCACCTTGCCAAGATCCATTTATTTGAAACATTATTACTGCATACGTCTTGATTCTGCAGGATTTCTATCAATTACAATAAAAGTCGACTTGGCCCCCCAAAAATGTAACGCTTGTCTCAAATACTTTTAAAGCTGTGACTCTTCCCACTCTCGACATCCCACTCTCCGCATCCCACTCTCCGCATCCCACTCTCCGCATCCCACTCTCTCGACATCCCACTCTCTCGACATCCCACTCTCTCGACATCACACTCTCGACAGAGATGCCAAGGCTGATTTTAACCCTTCGAGGTCCAGGACATCGTGTTAACATGCACGCTACAACGCATACTTTGCGGCTCAATTCAAGTCATCTTTCATGCACATTCATTTAAAACTCCACTGGGACAGTAGCAGCATGGAAGTGCGGTATGCTTCCTAATGGCTTTCTGCTACTTTAATCACATTTACAGTGATCTGTTATACTGTCCTCCAAGCTGTGCTGCTTCAGATGGACAGTTGTGTTACGTAGCATGACATATGCCTATCCAACAATGATCATGCTACGGTCTTATGGCTACTTTGTCTACAATTAAAGGCATTTCTTTTCTTAAGTGCAATTCAAGGTGTTGGGAATAGATTGTACCACTGCAGTTCCCAGGAAGACGTGTCTGTTGTGGATGATGTAGTTGAATTTACTGCTATGTAAAAAGGAGGAAGGGTGAACCTTCAATAGAATAGAAGCACTCATCTTTACACAGGTGATGGACAGAGGAACAATCCAAACAGCCATCTTGTCATGAAACCATGTGGCCTCATGAAAGATCGATGGTCTGGGAACATAGAACCCAGTGCGCAGACTGGAGAGGGTTAGACGTGGTCCAGCTGGAAAGGGTTATGTTTCTATGGTCTCCACTGCATTGCAACAACAGCCATATCATGGAGTGTGACACCAAAAGGTAAACAAGCATTTCAAAAGAAACATAGGTAGCCAAAGTATCAATCAACATAGAAACAGAACAGAGGGAAGCAATTGTCATTGAATGGCTGTGTCCTTGAAAAATGTATTATTTAAACAAGAGGGAATCCAAGATAACGTATTAAAACGAGAGGAAATCCAAGATAATGTATTTAAACAAGAGGGAATCCAAGATAATGTATTAAAACAAGAGGAAATCCAAGATAATGTATTAAAACGAGGAAATCCAAGACTGAAATACAAAAGAAGAAGTAATAAAGGCAAGGCAATCTCAGTTATGGCCATTTACGTCTCTCTTTAAATATTGACCCTTTCTTACAGAATATCTCTACAGAAGCATTTGGCCATTTGTACACAGCGATTCCTTTGCGTACACTCCATTATTTCTCAATATCTGAAAATGTTTGCCTATTTACAAGTTTGTACAGCCACCCAACAGATCTCTCAATCTCCCAGAGGACCCCATCCACTTAAAGCGGGATACCTGAGTTTTCAAAAGAATGCTTCAATCTCCACCGCACATTTCACAGGATCTCAAGGGAGAGGCTCACATGCACACACACACACACACAAAACCACACATACACACACACACACACAACCACACACACACACAACCACACACACACAACCATACTCACAAAGTTAGATCCTCTCTGAAAGGCTTCAGGACCTTTTGGAATAAGCCACACCAACCTTTTGAGTCAATGGTCCTGCATTCATGTTTGAGGTATTGAGCCCAAGAGGTCTTACAGCAGTTGGCAGTCAAGGTGGCAGCTGACCAACTGGCCAGCGACTGTCCGCAAAGTGACAATATGTTAGCCCGGACAAGTAGAGATAAAGTGGGCTGAGGTTTTGCTTTAGGTGAATGAATGAGTGACGGCAGAACTTCCTGGGAGACTTCATCTTGGCTGTTGATGTCAGAGGCTATGGCCTGACAAGACTGCTGCTAAGGGTGGGAGGTGTGTGGGGAGGAGGAGGCCCTGGGTAGAGAAAACCTGCAAGAGCAAAGGAGGAATGAACAGTGGGAAGATTTAGCTTGGGATTGAGGTGTGAGAAACAACACTAGATTATAGGTCTGCACCCAAATGTTGGAATAAAATGAAAACGTATGAGCAGAAACATTTAATCAAATGTAATCAAATGACGGAGGTGTTGATGCTATTGCCATTACCTCTGTAGTCTGTGCACTAGCTCAGACACCAGGGCGTCAGAGATACCAGGACAGGACTCTTCTGACAGGAAAACGGCCTCCCTCAGCTCGTCCACAGCCTCTGGCTTGCCATTGGTTGCCTCAACCTGGTTCTCTTTTAACTGTAAGGGAAGGAGAGACACAGTTTATCTTAAAGCGTGCAGCAGTAGCTTCAATAAGGGCAACACATATCAGAACAGTTTGACCCGGAATCATTTAACTTGACTGAGATTCACCGTTATATATCTTTAGATAAAAAAGAGAAATGGTAACGTAACAAGATGTCAGAAGATGTAGTTGAAATGAGCCCAAATACATTCTTACCTCAGCAAACAAAGGTGAAATGACAGTGCACCAGCTCTGTGACAAAGGCCTCTTTGGATTGTCTTGCACCTAATAAAGAAAGTATAGAATTAATCATTCTGATGGCTCAGTGCAAGACCTGAAAACAGCTGAAGAGTGAAGGTCAGCGTATTAAACAGAGAATGCCCAGAAACCACCACTCTGTGTTTGGTTAGATCATGATGTATATGAAAACTGACAGGAGAAAGCATGCGGTATAAATATATACACTATGGTATACATATATACACTATGGTATACATATATACACTATGGTATACATATATACACTATGGTATACAAAACATTAAAAACACCTGCTCTTTCCATGACAGACTGACCAGGTGAATCCAGGTGAAAGCTATGATCCCTTATTGATGTGATTTGTTAAATCTTCTTCAAAAATCAGTGTAGATGAAGCAGAGGAGACAGGTTAAAGAAGGATTTTAAAGCCTTGAGACAAGGATTCAGGGGGGTGAATGGGCAAGACAAAATATGTAAGTGCATTTGAACGGGGTATGGTAGTAGGTGCCACGCGCACAGAAATGGTCCGCCACCCAAAGGACATCCAGCCAACTTGACACAACTGTGGGAAGCATTGGAGTCAACATGAGCCAGCATCCCTGTGGAATGCTTGCGACACCTTGTAGAGTCCATGCCCCGACGAATTAAGGCTGTTCTGAGGGCAAACTCAGTATTAGGAAGGTGTTCTCAATGTTTTGTACACTCAGTGTACACTATGGTATAAATACTGTATACACTATGGTATGAATATAAACTATGGTAAAAATACACACTATGGTAAAAATACACTATGGCAGTGGTATTCAAACTTTCCCACGTGGACCCCATTGTTTCCCCGCAGACCTTTTGGGGACCCCATTTTTTCCCCGCAGACCTTTTGGGGACCCCATTATTTTCACAAGGATTTCTCACAACTCCACCCCAAATTTTATGACAACCTGAAAATCGATACATTTAGATTTTTACATCAACAAATAACTTTTAATTCATTACATTTTCATCTGTTATCAAAATGAAAATAAACAAAAATACATTTACTCAATAAAATTGTATTTTTCAAATGATCTTTCTCAATACACTATGGTATAAATATACACTATGGTATTGTTGAGGAAAAACTAGTTCCAAGGATCAGGCAGAGCTCATTTTCCAGTTTTTAAGAGTTTATTCAAGCAAATGGAAGAAAGTTAACTCTCCGGATATACCGGGGAGGAACTTGATTATTTACAAGTCACACAGTCTTTATATAAACTCAGCAAAAAAATAAACATCCTCTCACTGTCAACTGCGTTTATTTTCAGCAAACTTAACATGTGTAAATATTTGTATGAATATAACAACATTCAACAACTGAGACATAAACTGAACAAGTTCCACAGAAATGAGAGACAAAACCGCGACTCGTCAGTGAAGAGCACTTTTTGCCAGTCCTGTCTGGTCCAGCGATGGTGGGTTTGTGCTCATAGGCGACGTTGTTGCCGGTGATGTCTGGTGAGGACCTGCTTTACAACAGGCCTACAAGCCCTCAGCTCAGCCTCTCTCAGTCTATTGCGGACAGTCTGAGCACTGATGGAGGGATTGTGCGTTCCTGGTGTAACTCTGACAGTTGTTGTTGCCATCCTGTACCTGTTCCGCAGTTGTGATGTTCGGATGTACCGATCCTGTGCAGGTGTTGTTACACATGGTCTGCCACTGCGAGGACGATCAGCTGTAGCGCCGTCTTAGGCGTCTCACAGTACGGTCGTTGCAATTAATTGCCCTGGCAACATCTGCAGTCCTCATGCCTCCTTGCAGCATGCCTAAGGCACGTTCACGCAGATGAGCAGGGACCCTGGGCATCTTTCTTTTAGTGTTCTTCAGAGTCAGTAGAAAGGCCTCTTTAGTGTCCTGAGTTTTCACAACTGTGACCTTCATTGCCTACCGTCTGTAAGCTGTTAGTGTCTTAACGACCGTTCCACAGGTGCATGTTCATTAATTGTTTATGGTTCATTGAACAAGCATGGGAAACAGTGTTTAAACCCTTTACAATGAAGATCTGTGAAGTTAATTTTGATTTTTACAAATTATCTTTGAAAGAAAGGGTCTTTTTTTGCTGAGTTTACGTCATCTACACAAAGAGCTGTTTACCCCTAATAGGGGGAGATAAGCTTCTGAAAGAGATAAGGGGTAATTGGCTCCACTTCCTTAGATGAATAGTACAAACAAGAACAGGTTCTAACCAGTTCTCACAAGCCAATGTTTCTAAGACAGTGGAGTGATAAGATCTTTAAAGCCTAAACAGAAGAAACTAGATTTCCACCTGGCTAGGCTTTTAGTGCCCTAAAGATAACGAGCCAGTAATAAATCACTCCTCTGAGTGGTACAGTATGTAAAGAGGTTATTAGACAGCTGTGGTAAATTATCAGTTGAATTGTATTCTTCAACTCAAGAATTTACACAGCATTAGACTGTAACAAAACCATTTTGCGCAAACGGTATAAATATACACTATGGTATACAGTGCATTCGGAAAGTATTCAGCTCCTATTACAGCATTATTCTAAAATAGATTAAATATATCTATATATATATATACAGTGGGGAGAACAAGTATTTGATACACTGCCGATTTTGCAGGTTTTCCTACTTACAAAGCATGTAGAGGTCTGTAATTTTTATCATAGGTTCACTTCAACTGTGAGAGACGGAATCTAAAACAAAAATCCAGAAAATCACATTGTATGATTTTTAAGTCATTAATTTGCATTTTATTGCATGACATCCAGCATGACTGGGCAATACGGACTTCTCACCAAGCTGCTGTCAAAAATAGCGCGTTAACGACGTTAATTAGTTGTTTGCTGTTAATTACGTCAATTTTTTTAACGCATTTCACGCATGCGCAGTGTGACAAATTATTCAGGTCAGGAAAGTGGTTGGGAGCTAGAGGCGAGATGGAGCAAGGTGAGCAAAGTGGGCCTATTGACGGATTCAAATATAAAAAGAATGATGATGGTACAGTTAACAAGTACAAGGTTATTTGCAAGATTTGTAAGAAGGAGTTTCAATTTCACCGGAGCTGTTCAAGCTTGAAGTACCATGTCAACGCCAAACATGCGTTTGCTGGGCCGTCAGATTCAGCAAGTGGTTTGCGCCAGACCACGCTGAATGTTTGCAGGCAATTAACAAAATCAACCTCAGATAATTTGACCAACACAATAGCAAAATGGATTGCAAAGGATTGTAGACCCATTAGCATTGTAGAAGACTCAGGTTTCCTTGATGTTTTGCAAGTGGCGTCTCAAGACTCATTCTATAAGCCACCGTCAAGAGCCACAGCCAAAGACAAATATTATGGTGTGTAGTATGTTTCAGCTTGATTTAAAACACCATTATTTGGCTGTGTTAATAAACAGACATAATATGAAAATTATGTATCTGTGTCCTGTTATTTATCTTTTGGTATGCATTTCAGAAAAAAAATGGTTAGGATTCAGGTGTAATTGCAAATAGTGATTAATCATGATTAATCCACTGAAAATTCTGATTAATTTGATTAAAAATTTTAATCATTTGACAGCCCTAATATAAACACAATAGTTTTTTTGAAATTTTTGCAATTGTATTAAAAATAAAAACAGAGATACCTTATTTACATAAGTATTCACACCCTTTGCTAGGAGACTCAAAATTGAGCTCAGGTGCATCCTGTTTCCATTGATCATCCTTTAGATGTTTCTACAACTTGATTGGAGTCCACTTGTGGAAAATTCAATTGACTGGAAGGCACACACCTGTCTATATAAAAAGGTCCCACAGTTGACAGTGCATGTCAGAGCAAAAACCAAGCCATTAAGGTCAAAGGAATTGTCTGCCTGCCCTGCAGAGATGGTTGTCCTTCTGGAAGGTTCTCCCATCTCCACAGAGGAACTCTGGAGCTATGTCAGAGTACCCATCGGGTTCTTGGTCACCTCCCTGACCAAGGCCCTTCTCCCCCGATTGCTCAGTTTGGCCGGGCGGCCAGCTCTAAGAAGAGTCTTGGTGGTTCCAAACTTCTTCCATTTAACAACGATGGAGGCCACTGTGTTCTTGGGGACCTTCAATGCTGCAGACATTTTTGGGTACCCTTCCCCAGATCTGTGCCTCGACACAATCCTGTCTCGGAACTCTACGGACAATTCCTTCGACCTCATGGCTTGGTTTTTGCTCCGACATGCACTGTCAACTGTGGGACCTTATATAGACATGTGTGTGCCTTTCCAAATCATGTCCAATCAATGGAAACAGGATGCACCTGAGCAACATTGAGTCTCTTAGCAAAGGGTCTGAATATTTATGTGAATAAGGTATCTGTTTTGAAACTTTTATACATTTTGTAAAATATTCTTGTGTATAGATTGATGAGGATTTTTATTTATTTAATCAATTTTAGAATAAGGCTGTAACGTAACAAAATGTGGAAAAAGTCAAGGGGTCTGAATACTTTCCGAATGCACTGTACACTATGGTATACATATATACACTACCAGTCAAAAGTTGAGACGCCGACTCATTCAAGGGTTTTTCTTTATTTTTAGAATTTTCTACATTGTAGAATAATAGTGAAGACATTCCAGCGGAGTAGAACTGACCTTCCACGGAGTTGCATTATTTTCCAGAGAACGCATAGAGCCCTGAGTAGATCATCTATTTTATACCATGGCTATAATTTACCATATTTGCCAGTAGAAATGTGTTCAACATCCACTGACATAGCTAGCAAGCTACATTAGTTGCCGTGGTAACCAAACAAACAGACTTGCTAGTTTAGCTAACCAGTCCTAGCTAAAATTCAACAATGCCAATGTTTTAAATTCGACTTTTGCTTTATACCGTGCGTTATAAGGAAATAATGCACGCTATAGAATGCCCTTCAAGCCAATCAGAAACAAGTATTCAACAATGCCATGGTATAATTAAGCAATAACGCCCGAGGAGGTGTGGTATACGGCCGATGTTCTTGCGCACGACGCAACGTGGAGTGCCTGGACACAGCCCTTAGCCGTGGTATATTGGCCATTGGTTACCAATGTAATTAGAGAAGTAAAAAAAAAAAAAATTGGGTCATACCCATGGTATACGGTCTGATATAACACGACTTTCAGCCAATCAGCATTCAGGGCTGGAACCAACCAGTTTATAATACGGTATAAATATACACAATGGTATGAATATACACTATGCTATAAATACACACTCAGTTAAATCAGCATTTGGGGTGAGGATAACCATTACATTTACATTACATTTTAGTCATTTAGCAGGCACTCTTATCCAGAGCGACTTGCAGTTAGTGAGTGCATACATTTTTTCATACCATGACAAACTAAGTTGCATGTTTCTCTTGAATCCCCTTTCATATGACTGACGATTGTGTTGTTATATTGTTATTTCAACAGGTGCCATCTTACCTTGTTCCCCTCCAGCTCATCAGACTGGGCGGCTCCATTCAGGAACTTCTTGGGGTCCTTCTCCCTGATGGTGTTGAAGATCCAGTTATCGTTCCCAGAGTCGTTCACTCCAGACGCCTGGCCATCTTGTTCCCTGACAAGACATAGAGACCACCTTTAGACAACCTCACATGGAAACACAGTCTGAAGCATATTAGTGAACTGTCCCAATAAACAATCTGGTTAACAACCAGATCGGCAAAATAACATTAAAGGACAGACGAATGGATCAAATGATAATGACTTACGAGTCCGACTCATCGTCGCTGGATTCCTCCCGAGACTGCTCTGCTTTCCACTTCCTGTACTTCTCCACCAGCTCTGAAAGGTAGGACGTCTTCTTGGCGTGCCGGATGATCAGCTTGTGTTTCAGCAGTTCTTTGGCAGTTGGCCTCTAAGGAGGAGCACGCCAAGAAGACGTATATATTGGATGTGTTGTCTAATGTGCAGAGAGGGTTGACTTTCTACATTTTTGTCATTTAGCACCTGCTCTTATCCAGAGCAACTTACAGGAGTAATTAGGGTTAAGTGCCTTGCTCAAGGGCACGTCGACAGATTTTTTACCTAGTCGGTTCGGGGATTCGAACCAGCGACCTTTCGGTTACTGGCCCAACGCTCTTAACCACTAGTTAACAAAATGCAAATTTGAGCTCAATTGCTCCCCAAACACCACTTACAAAGCTGGGCTCTTTGTTCAAACAGGCTTCTATGAATTCTTTGAGGGGTTTGCAGTAGTTTCCTTCCAGGGTGGGCGGGTTGTTCTTTGGGATGAGGAATAAGACCTTCATAGGGTGGAGCTCTGAGTGGGGCGGCTCTCCTTTGGCCAGCTCTATGGCCGTTATGCCCAGAGACCAGATATCCGCCTGCGACGCAACAACAAGAAAAAGGAAACACTTTTTGAGAAAGACTTTAGAACAAATTCATCAACGGACTTCAAACGTCATAGCAAATATCAATAGGGACGGTTTGTGATGCAAAGGATATACAGATAGCATGATTCACAGAATGAACGATGATGATAAATAACACTTCTTGAAACTTGACTAGAGATTTCTATTCAAAAGATGGAGGGTGCCATTTTATATTCACACATTAGATAGTAACAACATTCACAGCCACTAGAAAGGCCCCACTTAGAAGGCCTATATCACCCGAGCCTGTAGTAGGTCATTTATGGAACTACCGTCAACCCAGGGTGAGTCAGTGTGGTGGCTCTGGTTTGCCGCATGGTGATTCACATGTTGTGGTCGTTCCTAATGTGTCTGGTGACATTTCCATCTGTGTGCACTGGCTTGTAGTGTGATCACAGCAGGTCACAGAGCTGAAGCTACCTCTGCAATGTCTCTACTCTCTCTACACAGCAGAATTTAGAGCCAGGAAAAACAAAGTTTATTGGACAACTATTTGATTTGATTTATTAGGATCCCCATTATGAAAACACAGAGTTCGAATTAAACATTTTGTTGACAATTCCCCACGTTTCCTATGACACATTATAACACGTGCATGAACCTATGAACAGATATGTCATCTTAACCTGGAACCTGAACGAGACAACCTGGAACCTGAACGAGACATAACCTGGAACCTGAAAGAGACTTAACCTGGAACCTGAAAGAGACATAACCTGGAACCTGAAAGAGACAACCTGGAACCTGAAAGAGACATAACCTGGAACCTGAAAGAGACATAACCTGGAACCTGAAAGAGACATAACCTGGAACCTGAAAGAGACTTAACCTGGAACCTGAAAGAGACTTAACCTGGAACCTGAAAGAGACTTAACCTGGAACCTGAAAGAGACTTAACCTGGAACCTGAAAGAGACATAACCTAGAACCTGAAAGAGACTTAACCTAGAACCTGAAAGAGACATAACCTGGAACCTGAAAGATATATAACCTAGAACCTGAAAGAGAGCTTGTGGTTTTTCTGACCTTTGAGTCATACGCAGACTGTTTTATGACTTCAGGTGCCATCCAGAACGGAGTGCCCACGAATGTGTTCCTCTTGATCTGGGTGTCCGTTAACTGCCCCGCCACTCCAAAGTCTGCCAGCTTCACGTCTCCTTGCTCCGATAGCAACACGTTAGCGGCTGGAGGCAATAACACAAACTATGAGATTCACCATGGTGGCCAGTTAAACAAGATAGTCAGTTGGCGATTCATGCTGCATTGTATGGCCATAGAGTGCTCTGAACAGTACCTTTAATATCTCGGTGGATTTTCTTTTCAGAGTGCAGGTACTCAAGTCCCCTCAGGATCTCTCTGAGAATTGTGGCAATCTGAGTTTCGTCCAAGGCACCCGGCTCCAACTAAAAGAGAAAGCAGGCTGGAACAAAGCGTCCTACTGAACCTTGACTGAAATGTAAAGATGCCTTTTGGGTTAGGCCTGTGTTACATCAACGCAATCTTACCAAGGAGTTTACTAAATTGTATTATAGAGAAACTTACCAAATCAAGAGCTGATCCTCCTCCTAAATATTCCATAATAATCCATAATTTTGCATCCTGAAATTAAAGAGAGAATGCCTTAATCATAAATCATGGCGAGTCTTTATTAAAACAGATCAACATGTACTGTTTAGTATCATACTGGAATAGAGTGGAAGAGGAAATTAAATCTCATAAAATCAAGACAGCGCTAACATCTCATTTAATACTTTCATCATAATTCATATTAAAAAAGAAGCTAAACACTTCAGCAATTCCTTCCCCCGGGGAGCCAATCACAGCACAGCACATCTGGCTGCATCAGGGATCATATCAAAATGGTGGAAAGTTAGGTCACTTAAGGTCTGAAGCCATAACCGCCTAGTGATGCCTGGAACAAGTGCAGTTCAATAATGCAGCACATTAAACATTTTTGTCATTTAGCAGACGCTCTTATCCAGAGTGACTTACAGTAGTGAGTGCATACATTTTCATACGTTTTTTCGTACTGGTCCCCCGTGGGAATCGAAAGCACAACCCTGGCGTTTCAGGACAGTTTAGGCCTACACATTCTAACAGCAGACTTGATAACCTTGAGAGAGAGGGCATAATACAACATTTCTAAAGCAGAATAGCCCCAGGTCAAAGAAATACAACTGGATGGTTAGCCATAAGAGTCTATGTAGTGTGATATGCAGCATACACTGAAACACATGAAACACTAAAAAAGACCATTCAGACTCCTCCTCCTTCCTCCATATGATCCATAAACCAGTTTGGCTCCTCCTTCTTCCTCCATATGATCCATAAACCCGTTTGGCTCCTCCTCCTTCCTCCATATGATCCATAAACCAGTTTGGCTCCTCCTTCTTCCTCCATATGATCCATAAACCAGTTTGGCTCCTCCTCCTTCCTCCATATGATCCATAAACCCGTTTGGCTCCTCCTTCTTCCTCCATATGATCCATAAACCAGTTTGGCTCCTCCTTCTTCCTCCATATGATCCATAAACCAGTTTGGCTCCTCCTTCTTCCTCCATATGATCCATAAACCCGTTTGGCTCCTTCTTCTTCCTCCATATGATCCATAAACCCGTTTGGCTCCTCCTTCTTCCTCCATATGATCCATAAACCCGTTTGGCTCCTCCCCAGCCTCGCTGGCCTGAATCTCTTCAGCAGCTTGACATAACCTACTAACCAGCTCATATCCTCAGTATGGGATCAGAGCATTTCATATGTAAACCATAACGCAACAGTATGTGGGGCAGAAGTAAATGGGCCCTGCACTGAGCTGTCAACATGGGAGAAAACTCCTCTTCTCCCCCTGGGACAATTACACACATTTTAAAACGCAAAAAGAACGGCTTTCCAAGAGATGTTGAGTGTTTCTGAATGGTTCAGTCTCAGTCCTGACTTAAATCTGCTTGAAAAAAATCAGAGACAAGTTTAGAATATTTCTGCCCAACAATGATTCTCAACCAAATTTACTGAGCTTGAGCAATTATGACAAAAATCAATGGATCTGTGTTGTGCAAGGTTGGTAGACGCGTATTAAAAATGATTACCAGCTGTAATGGCTGCCAAAGGTATATTAACTCTAAGGTGTGAAGACATACGCAATCAATACATCTTCATATTTTATTAATTATTAATTGGGAAATGTTATATATATTTTTTTTTCACTTTGATAACGTGGAGTAGATTGTGTAGATCAGTAAAAATAATAATCTAATTGAATCCCTTTTTAGATTTAATTTTAAGGCAGAAGAATGTGAAGACTGTGCAGGGCGTGTGTAGACTTTCACTAGGCACTGTAGTGAACAATACCCAAGAGATTAGAAAGTAGCACATGCACTCAAATAAGGGTCAGGCACAAATATAAATACTACATGACCAACTCTGCAGAAGAAAACTTTTATACCAAAGGTTGGAAGTCAGGGGGGAAATACACTATATATAGAAAAGTATGTGGACACCCCTTCAAATTTGTGGGTTTGGCCATTTCAGCCACACACGTTGCTGACAGTACACAGCCATGCAATCTCCATAGACAAACATTGGCAATAGAATGGCCTTCCTGAAGAGCTCAGTGACTTTCAACATTGCACCGTCATACGATTCCACCTTTCCAACAAGTCAGTTCGTCAAATTTCTGCCCTGCTAGAGCTTCCCCGGTCAACTGTAAGTGCTGTTATTGTGAAGTGGAAACGTCTAGGAGCAACAACGGCTCAGCCTCGAAGTGGTAGGCCACACAAGCTCACAGAACGGGACACCCGAGTGCTGAAGCACGTAGCGTGTTAAGATTGTCTGTCCTCGTTTGCAACACTCACTACAGAGTTCCAAACTGCCTCTGGAAGCAACGTCAGCACAATAACTGTTAATGGGGAGCTTCATGAAATGGGTTTCCATGGCCGAGCAGCCGCACACAAGCCTAAGATCACCATGCGCAATGCCAAGTGTCGGCTGGAGTGGTGTAAAGCTTGCCGCTATTGGACTCTGGAGCAGTGGTAACGCGTTCTCTGGAATGATGAATCACGCTTCACCATCTGGCATAGTGTCAACTGTAAAGTTTGGTGGATGAGGAATATTGGTCTGGGACTGTTTTTCATAGTTCGGGCCCATAAGTTCCAGAGAAGGGAAATCTTAAGTCTACAGCATACAATGACAGTGACATTCCAACATTGTGGCAACAGTTTGGGGAAGGCCCTTTCCTGTTTCAGCATGACAATGCCCCTGTGCACAAAGCGAGGTCCATACAGAAATGGTTTGTCGAGATCGGAGTGGAAGAACTTGACTGTAGTGTATCTGAATAATATATAAATGAACCAAATTGCAACCTCTGTTGACTGCAACATAAGGCGAATCTGCCTGAGTGACCATTTTTTGTTCTAAATGGCTGTGCATGGCTGTCTGCTGCGGCTGTGAATTCCCCCTTGTAGACGGGTGATCATGTAGGCCAGAGCGGTGTGTGGATGACTAAGTATGGCCACAGGCCTCTGTCTGCAGCTCAGACAGACTAGATGAGCCTGAGGTACCGCTGTCATGTGCAAAAGAGAACATTTCATCCATTTTTAGAAAGACTAGGCCTACGACTGAGTAATTACATAGAACTAGCCCAACCGAACACAATTTCCAATTAAATCACCGACTGACACTAACATCTCCTCCTCTCTCTAATGGTTCTGATTGTATAACGGTTTTAGCAGGAATCATTGAAAGATTTAAATATTCGGTCTTGGCAGGTGATTTTGTCAGTCTGTGCAACCAATTTTGATATGGCCTTGACTTGGGATGCAAATTTCGGTCAATTTTGTTACCGACTAAAACCGGTTAATAAATGGTTAAATTGGTTCCAAACAGTAAAATTATGTGACCAACAGAAAATACTGTAATGACCTGACTAGATCACAAAAGAACAACTGTCCAGACAGAGGATTGAGTTTACGAATGGACGGTTTATTAAACCAACTTTACACAGGCTACTGTTTGGCCGTAGCCCACGCCAAATAAATGAAAGATAACCCACAAGCCAATCGTGACCTTCTCTTGTGAAGCCCAGACGTAAAGAGAGAGAACAAAGGCTAAACCTGGTCTTAACTTCCAATGCTCCATCCCCCTGCCCAACCCCCCTCCACGCCACTCCGCCAACCGCCAGGATGCCCGGCATCAGAACATTCCAGGCATTCCCGTGATTGGCAGATAGCAGGTTGATTGACATGTCAGACCCCGCGAACACTGGGTACTGGTAGGTACAACACAACTATCTACTAGCCTAACACATAACACACAGCTGTCTGTGCGGGTCGCTACACAGCCCCCCCACCACAAAGTCCCTCGTCCCCGAGGGAACAAACAAAGTCTCTGAAGCGACCCGGAGGTCTCCTTTGCCTGCGTGGCTGTGATGGCCGCAGAGTGCCCATCTGGGAACCAGGGGATGAAGGCAAGGACATGGGGGACAAGGAAGCGGGAACGGGTAATACAGTCCGTGGCTCTGGGGAACCACGCGGTGACACAGGGGGAGTGGGCTGTCTGGAGCCTTGTCTGCGGCACCTGGGGGTGGGTGCCTGGAGAATGTCATTGCCAGAGAGGGGAATTGTGGGGGTTCCTGGGGTTTGGGGAGAAGAGGCCCCTCTATATGGGGCTAACCTGTCCCGGTGCAGTGTCACCTTTCTCCCCCTGGGAGGAAGCTGCACCCGGTAAACAACCTCCCCTACCCTCTCCAGGACACTGCAGGGTCCCACCCAGTGACTGTCCAACTTGGGGCATCTGCCTTTTTTCCTTAGCGGGCTGTAGACCCAGACCAGCTCCCCAGCCACAAAGTGCCTTCCCCGGGTGTGCACGTCATAGTTCCTCTTCTGCCTCACACCTGCATTCAGCAGCTGCTCTCTGGCGAAGGTGTGGGCTGTCTCCAGGCGGTCCTGGAGTCTCCGGGCATACTCCGGCCCCGGGGAAACATGAGGGCTATCCAGGGACCGACCAAACGCCATCTCCGCAGGGGTACGGATCTCTCTCCCCAGCATGAGGAGGGCAGGCGTGCAGGAGGTGGAGTCTTGGACAGCGGAGCGGCATGCCATGAGGACCATAGGCAGGTGCTTGTCCCAGTCACGCTGGTGTTTGGAAGAGACGATGGCCAGCTGCTGTCCAAGCGTTTTGTTGAAGCGCTCCACAAGGCCATCACTTTGAGGATGGAGAGGAGTAGTGCGGGTCTTGTGCATACCCAGCCTCTCACACATGGTGGCGAACACACGGGACTCAAAGTTTCTGCCTTGGTCGCTGTGGATGGACTCTGCAGCTCCAAACCTGCTGAACATCCCCGCTGTCAGGGCGTCGACGATGGTCTCTGCCTCCTGGTCAGGCAGAGCATAGGCCTCGGGCCATTTTGTGAAATAGTCCATGGCCGTGAGCACCCAGCGGTTTCCACTGTCTGTGGTGGGGAACGGCCCAACTACATCCACTCCCACCCTCTCCATGGGAGTCCCCACTGGGAACTGTTGGAGCTGAGCATGAGAGCGGCCTGGGGGGCCCTTTCTCGCTGTGCAGTTGTCACAGCGGCGGCAA